AATAATATAACATTATTATCTTTCTAAAATTTAAAGCTACTTCAGCCATAAATATATATGCTATCTCCCAGCTGTAAAATATGCAAATACAGAAATCCTTTGAACTTTCCCTTATCACTTGCCTTTTGTTAATTGGTGTGCGGTTTCCCTGCTCCCATCTTTTGGCCAACACCTCACATCCTGCCGAAAGGACGCCCGCATATTCGATGCCAATTTGAGGGGTCTCCCAACATCTGATTTTAGGCATAAACTAAAGTAGGTCCCTCAGCGGGAAACCAAACCGGGCAGAACCGCCCAACTTCTGCACTTCAGCCAGGATGCCCGCACATTGTTATAATTACGCGTAACTTTCGACAAGTGTCGCCTGAAAATCGCCAAACGTTCTCATTTCAAATGCCGCTGTCCAGGCAAAGTTCTCCCCGTCCTTTGACTAGAATGGCAGCAGGGGAATCCCCCGGCAGCTGCGGTTTAATCTTCTTTTAAGTTGCGCCCCACCCCTTTTTCCTTCTAGAAAAAAGATGGCGACACCGTAAAGCAAAAGTTTGCCGCCACTTGTGGGTTTATAACTTAGAACAAAGCAAAGTCAACGGTTCAGGGAGGAGGGCGGTGAAAAGCGAGGGAGGGCGTGGCAGTGCTGAAACGAGGGCAGTCCTTTGCACAGCTTGAAAATAGTTGGAGTTTTGTGAAAAGTCATTGTTACTCTACTCTGAAGAGCCGCCTCTTCACCCTCCGCTTTCTGCTCTCTAATTAGTCGTCATTGGCGTGTGATTTGTGGGCGGACTTTCGAGCATTTTCGAAATTGGAGAGCCAAAACGAATATCCAAAACCTGAACTTCTCTAGCCACAAAATCCAACTTGTAATTGTGTTCAGATTTTTGATTTACCTCAGAATAGATTTTGGATTGGATTGCACTGTGGGATAATTTGGGTTTTGAATTAATAGATTAAAATTTTTAATAACATTTTTTAGGCATGGTTAAATATTAATTGTAAGATACAAAAAATTAAATATTAACAGACTATTTTAAAAATGAGTTTGCGATTAAAATATAATTTTAGTTAGTAAAATCTGTATATCTCCTTGTAAAAATTAAGAATTTAATAATAAAATACATTATATTACAAAATCGAACCAATTCCTCAATACTTTTATTGTACTAAACTTAACCCAAATTTCTTTCAGTAACTGACTTTCATATTAACCAGAAAATGACAAGCCTGAGTGGAGAAACACCTTTTGGAGCAATAAATTTCGAACCGCACCTTCTGGAGAAAACTATAGAGACCAGACTTCTCTCTCTCATTAGTGGAACCAATTGCCAGTTCATGTTCAGTTTTCATGGTTTATATTCGGGCCAAGGCGTTATAGCTGGCCGCAAATGATTTAAAGCCAAATGAGCTTGCCACAATTTATGCTGACCACATTAACCATTCTTGGCCAAGAGGGACTGGGACAGAGAGATAGAGAGAGCAAAAGTCCGAGCAAGTATTTAATTAAATTAAGCACAAAGGAAAACACCAAAGTCCGAGAAGCGAGTAGCGGCCAGATGAAGTTGGCTTCTTTTTTTATGGCTTGGCCTTTAAAGCCGTCGTAAATCATTTAAGAAAATGGCAGAGCAGACCGGATGGAGCGAATAATATAGAGATGGTCGCTAATGGCCAGCGGTTCCTCATTGTCAGAGCCGATCACGCCCGCCGGCCACTCGAAGCGCATTAAAATAGACTAAAATGCCCGCCGTTCGGCTGCCTTTATGGCCACTTAATGTAAAACAGTTAATTAGCCCCACTCACCCACACACACACACACGGCAAATGTTCAGGCTTAATGCAAAATGGCCGCCATCATTTTGTTTTTTTCTTCCCAACCATTTCCTTTTTGCTTTCTTCCGCTGACGTTGGCCATCTTCACTAGGTAAAATTGACCAGGTAAAATCAAGGGGAATTGGGAGGGGGAGAAAGCGGCTGACTGCTGTGAAAGGCGGAAAATTACTTTTGATTAATGAAGCGCAATGAGGCGAGCAAAAAATACAAATAAAAATTATAAAAAGCTATGGAAGGACAAGAGCAAAAATCGAACACCAAGCTGAAATCCCCTTTGTAAATGGATGAAACTTCCCAATAAGAAGAATTTATAATATATATTATTCCAATCTATATTTGTATATATATTCATCCCGGAAACTTAATCAGTAATAATCAAAATATTTACTATTGGAATATTATTAAACTTATCATATTTAAAAACAAATTTTTATTAACTTGGAGCTCAAAATGGTTTCTTAGTTTTTCTGGCACTAAAAGATGCCTACCCTAGTAAGAGTATAATAAAAACTTGTCAATCTCTTCCGCAGTCGCGCATTTCCCGCATTTTTTCCGCATTTCCCGCCCTGCTGGAACTTCCTGTTTATGGCAGACAGCTACTGAGTAGCCCTGAGTGTCATTGGGAAAATCGGAGAAAAAAGGAAAAGGAGATTGCTGGAAATTAACATGCAGACTGACGGCTGACATGCCATGGACATTATTGGTCCGAACACCTTTGCTTGCAGTTCATTATTAATGTCGATGCATTGTCTTTCTGGCCATGGGGGAAAATTCCAGTTAAGTGTCATCGCCTCGTCCCTCACCTTTAATTACTATGATGCCCAGGACGTGACCAAAAGAACCTAACATAAACGAGTTGCTATATATCTAAGAGATTGTTTTGTGCCAGCCTTGGCAAAAATGCAACCTGCCAGTCCTTCATATAATTATTTGCTCTGGGCTTGGCTTTTATTAACCAGGATGAGCATGGTCCATAATTGTGGCCATTAAACGTGGAACAGATTCGGCTTGGCAACTTTCGGGAAAATTCATTAGTCGGCTGATAGGGTCAGGTCATGGTCGAGCCGCTGCCAAAGTTTATATTAAGTAATAAGCGTTAACCGTGGCTTCATTTGCATAGCCAAGACAGGACGAGACCTAGCAGCATTCGCCTGGGTTAAGTGGCAGTGTAATTAAATTTAATCCAATTAAACGACTGACAAGTCCAGAGCAGCTTGCGGTCCAGCTTATTAATGGTGGCTTCATTAACTACGCTGTGAGCCAAACCCAACCTCATTCGGGGAAAAAATTTTAATAAGTTAAAGAATGGTCTGGGCATTTCCAAGTTCAAATTATCGCGCCAACTTCTAGAGTTCACATGTCAAGCATGTGTAAGATCTATAAAGCTATGTTTAAGTTACTAGTATTTGTTTTTTTCAATATTCAGAGTTTTCTATACGGACTTTAAAAACATTTTATTTTTACAATTATTCAGTACAAAAGTTCATTACATTAGAAAAAGAAGGTATATGAGAAATAAGAAGTTACAGTATGTAACTAGTATTACGTTATCGGATCAGTTTAGCTTTAGCTTCGCATATAAAGTAGCTCTTCACCGAACATATTTCAGCTGTAATGGTGTGATTATATTGAGCATGTAGTATACGACAATCCTTGTTTTCAAATAAAGTTTTGAACTTCCTGGGATCTGAGACTTGCGAGTTAATAAATGCGGCTGTTTCTTCTGTTGTTTCAGATATCTTCGGAACCTCCATCCAATAACTATGATTTGCCTGCAAGTTTCCAGTGATGGCAGTCCACTCTTTTTCATTTTTAAGATTTATCAGGCTACCATATAAGCTATTACATGTTGCCAGGGATTCGTTCCAGTTTTGAGGTTTTTCTTTTTCAATATAGTAATACTTCTGTCCGATTTTCTTGTACATATGAAAACTTGTTGCATTTTGCAATTCAATCAATTGTTTTTGTATGTTAGAAAGCCTTTCTGGCAAAGCACTATATTTCACAGTGAAATCCTTAATCCATCCGTCTAAGGACACCCACTTTTGCTCATTGCTTCTAAGAGTCGCCATCGTCCATTTCTCTCTCTTTATTCTCTCTTCTTCCCTTTCTTGAGGTGTGGGTTTCTTATATTCCGCGAATTTTTTATTCATTTTCACAATCAATTTATTCATTTTGTCTATATTTTCTATTAACTTTTGCGATACTTCAACATTGGGGTTCAATTTAGTCAAAACTGACTTTATATCAGGTTTGGTGTTATCAGGTATATCCTGAAATCAAATTAGTGTATAATAGCATAATTAAAGAAAGATTGCAAAAAGTTACATACCACATTTTCTGCAAGGCTATGTTGCCAAGCAATTCCCAATAAAAGGAACACTATTAAAAGCCGCATTTTACTTCTAGAATTTACGACCGTCCTGCGCCAATGAAATATGTTGACTATTATTTTTGAACTGCTGGATAGAGTTTATATAGCCCTTAAAGTCGAGATACAAACGTCAGAGTCCTTTACAGTTATAACATATAGTGATAAAGGGTCTGACGCAGAAAAAGGTGTGATAGCTAATCTAGAAGAACCCTGTAGTGATGGTGAATTCAAAGCAAAATAATAAACTCTTTATTAAACTCTATTAATATTAGCAAAGAAATACCCTTTGAATGCACAATCATTTTTAATGGGCTTGATAAATATATTAAAATACCGTTGATTAGTCAAACGGACTTTGCGTCAAAGAATTTTTATCAAAGGACTCTTGCGTACTTTCTGATTGCACGAATGCACTTTTACAACCTATAAAAACTCAAGTCTCTGAAAGAAAAATCATAGTCTTCATTAATGGTTGGAAAATATGAGACCTATTCTAGCACTCTTATTAATCACAGCTGCTTGGCAATATTGCTTTGCTGAAGGAGTGGTAAGTTATTTCTCCAAATAAAAAGAATTAAAGTAATTAGTCTTATATAACCAGGATGAACCGGTAGAGATAACAACCCAGAAAAATGTCGAAAATGAATTTATATTCAATCAAGATGAGTTCATGCAAAGGATTGAAAAAATGGAACAACTTTATGAACAAAAAGATGTTGTCATTGACAAAATATCTTCCAACTATACCGAATTATTAAAAAATATCGCCAACACAGAAAACCAAATAACCAAATTACAAAGATTCATGAAAGTTAGCAAAGTTTTCAAGCCGATTGTGAAATTTGAGAAAATCGGTGAGAAATATTACCATATTGAGAACAAGGAAAGACTGAACTGGTATGAAGCTGTCTCCAGATGTAGAAGCATGGAAGCCAACCTTATTAGCCTTCAAAACGAGGAAGAGTGGAAGGCTATCACCAAGCAGATTCGTCATTACAATAAATATTGGGTGGATATCAACGATGAGGCAACCGAGGGCGAATATATATCCGAATCAACCGGAGAGGAAGCTCCTTTCCTAAAATGGTCTGTCGAAGAGCCAAATAATTCGAAAGGTGTCGAAAATTGTGTTCAGATGCGTGAATCCTATGGTCTATTCGATGAAACACCTCATTCTATGAACGACGTCGAATGCACCTCAAAAACCTTTTTTATATGCGAAGCCAATGAAATATGAATAAATCTTAAAAAATTATATGAACGAAATATTAAATATTAAATCAATTAAATATCACCAATAAAATAACAAAAACTATATACCTAAATTGTTTTTGAATTACATATCAGTATAAAGATTATTAATTATTTTGAAAAGACTTCTGTAATGCTGTCAAGATCTCAAGAAAGCTTAAAAAAAAAAATTAAAAAAAAAAATAATAGCAAATTTAGTAAGCTCAGTTTTTTGTGTTTATTTTTGAGAATATTTTTAATTTTTTTAATTATTTAAAAACACTATCGGAAAAAGTTTAAAATAAAGAACGTTAGAATATTATGAGAAGAATTCAATTTAATTAATAAATTGTTTTGTGCTTATGCACTTATTTAGAAAGATAAAAATATGCAATTTAATCAAAGTGAGAGATCGACAAACAGAAATTAAACCCATTTTGAATTCTATTGAGAACTGTCCTTTGTTATTGTTATCCATGTTATTTATTAAATATGCTTTTTCATATATGTATTTTTAAAAATTTTTATTGACATTAAATTACATATCAGTATACAGATTATTAGTTATTTTGAAGAGACTTCTGTAATGCTAAGATTTCTTGTTCCATATTGTCAAGCTTGTCAGAAAGACTATCATATTTGGGAATCAAATTATTAGTTAGCTTTTTTTCCAGGATCGAGCAAGAACTCTTAGTCTCCACGAGCTTTATCACGGTGAAAATAATATCTACATCAGAGTCATCCAGTGGTTTGTCCTGCCATTTATTTATATTTTAGTTTATTTATAAATTTAGTTAAAATAAATTTACCTCATCATCCGCGAAGATACCTTTAGAAGCGAATCCGATCAAAAATAGCATTACAATATATCGCATATTTTCCATTTTTAACAACTCTTCAGCTTTAACAAACCGTATTGACTGTGACTTTTTCACTTTGCTATTGGGTTTTTATAGGCCAAGAAAGAACTCACAATCAGAATATATAGTTGAATCCTTTAATGTGATAAGAACATTGACGCATGAATGCCTTAGAGTTATCAGGTTTTCTTAATCATGCAACTGGCATAAAGTCACAGAAGACGTAAAAACTCAGTTGTTATATGTATAAATAAATTGGCAGATCAATACAACTTTTCCATGATGATTATTGACTTCTATCAAACCGATAAAATCCTATATTAATTAATTATCACATTTATACTTTAAAGAGTGTTGAGATAGTTCTGTTGCCTTGGATCGCTGATGGCGCTGATAGTTACACCGAAAGGAAGAGATTACTTTGAAGGGGATAAAACTGATTTAGTTCATTCTTCATTTTTCAATTTAAGAACAACTTTTCCCAATTATTCTTCTCAGAATAGTATATGTTTAGAAGGGTTTAAGCTTAAGAAATATTCATAGCAAAATATATATTATATGACTAATAGACTTAATTTTGTGTAAATTTTTAACATTTTGTAAAATACACAATCTTTGATTTTATAAAATAAAGCAAGTTTGAACATTAATATTATAACGGAATTTTATTTACATATTTCTTTATTTATTTATTTAAAGCTTACACTAACTTCTAAACTTTTAATATTGTAGGGCAACGAGCCATGGCACTATACATGTATTATATATATCATTTATATATGAAAACTCGGCGTGCTATATTTATTTTATAAATATTTTATTGACATTGAATTACAAGTCAGCTGATCATTTTTCGGTTCTTAATTATTTTGAATGGTTTTTTGTAGCGTTAAGATTTGTTGCTCCATATTGTCAAGCTTATCAGAAAGACGATCGTATTTTGGAGTCAGTTCCATAATTAGCTGTCGTGCCACGGAATTCCAACCACTTTGTACCCACTGAAGCCTTCCTACGTTGAATCCGCTCTGACATTTATGGTAGAAATTGTTAGTAGAATTTAATTTTATTTGTAAAATACTTTTACCTCATCATCCGCAAAGGTACCTTGACAAGCGAATCCGATCAAAAATAGCATTACAATATATCGCATATTTTCCATTTTGAACAACTCTTCAGCTTTAACAAATTGTATTGACTGTGACTTTTTCACTTTGCTATTGGGTTTTTATAGGCTTTATATATAGTTTTTATATATAGTTGAATCCTTAAATGTGATAAGAACATTGACGCATGAATGCCTTAGAGTTATCACGTTTTTTCAATCATGCAACTGGCGCAAAGTCACAGAAGGCGTAATAACTCAGATGTTATATATATAAATAAATTGACAGATCAATACACCTTTTCTTTAATGTGAATAATATCATAAAAACATATACATATAAATACATAGAGGGTTGAAAACGTGTTAACGACTGGGATCGCTCAGATTCCATATATATATATATCAAATATATAAAGTCGGTTTATTTTTTTGTATTTTATTTTATAAACATTTTATTGACATTGAATTACAAGAATTGATGATCGTATTTAGGAGTGTTTATGCAGGTATGTAGAAAGCTTGATTATTAATATTGTGTATTACATATACATATATATATATATATATATACTAATTGTTATATATGGGAAATAATCTTGTATGGACATAAAGATATATTTAAGCAGAACATTTTCGAATCTTAATTATTATAAAGAGACTTTTGTAGGGTTGAGATTTGAAGCTCCATTTTGTCAAGCCTGTCAGAAAGACGGTCATAATTGGGAATGAGTTCCTCAGTTAGCTTTAGTGCCAGGCTCGACCACCTTAGTTCCGCCTGCTCGAGCCTCATATTGTTAAAAGTTTGATCTAAATCTCTGTTATCAGATGGTTCGTCCTGCCATTTATCGTGAAATATATTTAGTTTAATTCAATTAAATGTAAAATAAATTTACCTGACCATCTGCGAAAATACCTTGAGAAGCGAATCCAATCAGCACTAACACTAGAATAAATCGCATATTTTCCAATTTAAACAGCTCTTCAGCTTCAACAAACTGTATTGACTATGATTTTTTCACTTTGCGATTGCGTTTTTATAGGCCAAGAAGTTTAATCAGAATATATTTTTAATTTCTTTAATGTTATAAGATATTATTGACGCATGAATGCTATAGAGTTAACATGTTTTATCAAGCCAACTTGCATGGCATTAGGAGGCAAAGACGTACTCAGTTGTTTTATAAATAAATTGAAAATCAATAAACTTGTATATGATGTCAATAAAATTATAAGTTATGAATATTAATATTGACCATTATATATATTAACCAAGCAACAACGCCAACTAAAAGTTATCAATAAATTACTTCCAGCAATTCGAAAAACGGTTAGAACTAAGTAAAACCATTATTTTTGGTATATCGAAATTATTTATTTTAGTATATTTCAACCGTCACGTGCATTATCGTTGCTTATCGATGGCATCTCCGTATCGATAGTGTTATCGGAACCGACTTGTGTAATAAAAACAAGACCAAATTGTGTTAAAAATTTTCGTAAATGCTGTGAATTGGTTCATTTAGAATTCTTTATTGTATCAGATTTCGTATTGCATCTAGGTGCATCCAGTTAGAAAGGATTCCCGTCAAATGGTGGGTATTCTGGTCGGTGATAACGTCCGTCCAAGGGTCGGTGGCCGATCTATTTAGAATCAAGGTTACGGATCTTAAAAAATTGGAACTGATTGTGACTTAATTGTGATTGTAGAGCCCAAGAAAGACTCTGGACTTGAGACTGGGTTTGGACGTCAATTAACACATGCTGCCCGCCATCATTTTCCGGCAGGTGCAGCGGCCACTGCATCATGGAGCCGCCACATTGGAGCACGTATTGGGCGTCGGTGGAAGTAGCTTCGTGAACTGCCTAAATCGCTATGCCGCCGCCACGGGATTTATCCGGATCTCGTTTCTGGACATCAAACGCCGGAGGAACTATGAATTGGCCAGGCTGCGCCTTTATGCCGATGAAAAAAAACAGTCCCTCCACCTGCGCACCTTGCAGGGTCGCCATCTCCTGCAAGGCGTCATCGAAAGGAAGAACTTCCTTGTGGATGATATCCGGGAGGCAAAGCACAAAGTCCAGGAACGGGTGCGCGAGAAGATCGATGAGATTCGGGAAGAACGAGAGAACATCATGACCATACCCAACATGCTGACCATCAGTCGCGCCTTCCTGTCGCCCTACATTGGATATGTAATCGTCCAAGGAGATTTCACTTTGGGAATGAGTCTTCTAGCCTTTGCCGGGTTTACGGATCTAGTAAGTGTCAGGACTCAACAACCTTAAGTTGCTATATAATATTATTTTATATTAAACCAGGCAGATGGTATATTAATATTAATAGATACTAGGCACAAAACTGGTTCTATCTTATTCTTTGCATTTATTGATTTTTGTTTTGTATATAGTTCCTTTCAGAATCAACAAATCTATTTATGTTGTTGCATTGTTTTACCAAAGTGGCCCAGTCTAAGATCCAAAAATAGTTTGTTTACTTAAGCAAAATAGCTAGACACATATTCTTATGTATTTGTTTAACAAATTTTTTCTAAAATGAATCAAATATTTCTTGTCCCATAAGTATCTTCCACTTAACTACAGTATAAAATGTATATTAATATTGGTTTTCCTTTCCTCGTAGTTGGATGGACAGATCGCTCGGAGATGGCCATCTCAGGCGAGCAAGTTTGGCTCATTTTTGGATCCCATGGCCGATAAACTGCTAATGGGTTCTCTCGTCATCTCGCTGTGCTACACAGACCTTCTGCCCATGTGGCTCACTGGCATCGTGGTCTTCCGAGATGTGTTCCTACTAGGAGCTGGATTTGTTATACGCTACATAAGTCTGCCACCGCCGGTGAGTAAAGGATTCCAATTCGGGTTATTATTATAAATAATTTGCACTTCTCCCACAGAAAACCTTTTCGCGGTACTTTGATGCCACCCATGTTACTGCTCAACTAGAGCCCACGCTGCTCAGCAAGATCAACACGGGAGTGCAATTGGCCACCATTGGCTTGAGCTTAGGAGCTCCCATTTGGAATTATTTGGGTGAGATACAATGCCCATTCCTATCTGAGACAAAATAACTCAATTTTTACTTTTTTACCTCAGATCATCCGGCTTTGCATGGCCTTTGGTATCTGACTGGCCTTACTACGGCTGCCACTGCCCTCAGCTACGTGCTGAATCGGCATAATACCTTTAAGATTATCCAAAAAAAGACGTAGAACCGGGCATTTCCGATAAAGGAGTAATGTATCTCCTTAAGCAATGATTAGTATGTATTGTGTTTTCTAAACGATTACCATCTAAAATTAAATAAATATATTTTGTTAACAAATTTAGAGGTAGTGATGTTCATTGTTTTATCATTTTTAAATTTTAGTTGCCGGTAATGATGACCATTTATCGATGTTGCAATTTGGTATGTGTATTTGCTAATATATTCAGAAGGTTGGGTGGAAACATTTACTAAAATTCTAGTGTGACCAACAATGAACCAATAATCGCAAGGTTATCGATAGTATTGAAAGAACTACTGCTTGCCAGCCCTGAATTCTCCCCTTCTTTTCTTTTCGCCCGTTTCCGGTGAGTGGTGTGCTCCGCGTGTAAATCTAGTAAAATTTTAGCTAAAATATAAGTTTTTGCTGTTTATTAGGACTGTGAGTGGTGTGCGATGTGTAAACTATGCCCCATTAATGAAGATTATGAATTGAGAATCCGTTAAAATTAATTTTCAGGCCCTGTAAAGCTGAACCACAGTCGCAGCGGTGTCATGTCCGCCTGTTTCTATAAAAAATCCAAATACCATAATTTTTTGGTTTTTCACATGGTCTTGTTGACTTTATCTGCTTCGGCCATTAAAGCCAACTATCGAAATATGGATATCTTCATTGTTTTCACTAATATTTACCTAATTCAGTAACGCCGTTACATCTGGCACACCGCAATCAAAAAAATTTGTAGAACTAGAGAATAAAAAACGTGTTAGGGATAAATTTTACTTTGATACCTCGTTATAAATTCCTCTACAAAGCCTCAACCATACCATCAAGTATAATTTAACTGCAAGGACTCTTTAAAAATACACGCATTGGCAGAAATTAATTTGTAAACACTACTATTAAATTTACTAATTTTACTTTTTTTCTCCCAACTCCATGTACTCAACAAACACCAATGGATATACAGAGCAAGCCGCCAAGATGAGGAAAATCATGAAGCAGGGCAAGATCGTAATCGTCCTTAGCGGACGTTACGCTGGCCGCAAGGCCATCATCGTCAAGACCTCCGACGATGGTACCCCTGAGAAGCCCTTCGGTCACGCCCTCGTTGCCGGTATCGATCGGTACCCACGCAAGGTGACCAAGAAGATGGGCAAGAACAAGCTGAAGAAGAAGTCCAAGGTCAAGCCCTTCCTGAAGAGCTTGAACTACAACCATCTGATGCCCACCCGCTACACCGCGCACGACATCAGCTTCGAGAAGCTGTCGCCCAAGGACCTGAAGGATCCCGTCAAGCGCAAGACGCACCGTTTCCAGACCCGCGTCAAGTTCGAGTCCGTCTACAAGGAGGGCAAGAACAAGTGGTTCTTCCAGAAGCTGCGTTTCTAAGCTACCCATTCGCTACTTGTGGTTACTGGATTGTCGCTCTTTTTAAGGTTTAATAAACAAAGAAGTAATTCTGATAAAACTGACCGAAGTGAAAACTGTGCCTTCATTCTAAAGTGTACAAGTGGGGCATATGCCTACAGATTTACGATGTTAAAACGTCCCATGTGGAGTAGGAAATCAATCTAAGACCAATAGGATGTCATTACGCCAATCAAGTGATAAATTCTATTGCAATAAAATTGCATTTCCATTTTTATACTGAAGCCCCCGCTAGTAAAAACATTTGGTCATATGGCCTGGAAGTCGAAAACATTCATAATTTACAGTGTCTTTTTTTACTTGTTTCTTTACTAATAAATATTCGAACAGAATAATACATTTTGTTTGAATTAATTTCTCAATATTACAATTCTTTTGGAAAATTTAAAATTACAATTTAATATCGCTTTGACTATTTTTGGAAACTTGCTTAGCCGTAAAAGAGCGCAAAGTGTGTTATTCTTGTTGTACATGAACTGTTGCCTTAGGATATTTTGGATATAAAAGTTAAATAAAAGAAAGGATAGCTCTCAGTAGGGGGTTAAAAAGAGTGCAGAAACATTGGATAGGACCGGCAAGAAAATCTGTGAAATAAAAATAAAACTTAATTAGTATCGGTTTAAATAGATCAAAAATGTAAGGCTTAAAAGTAATTTGAGTTCGTATTACCTGAATTATCACACTTGGACATCGAATGAACACACAATGACATTTAGCCGGGATAACATTTTGTTTTGGTTAAGCAGCGGAATAATTCGACCTCAATTTGATTATACCGATTTTTTTTTCTGGGCATCACATTAACGCTGAGTGCATTGGCTTGGGGTACAAGATGTTTCGAATTGGCTTAGTTGTGGGTTAATATAATTTTGATTGGTTTGGTATTATTGGTTCGATTTGGTTTATTTTGCTGAGTTGGTTAGCAGTTGGTTGAGTTTCTGTAGTCTGATATTGTGCCTAAAATTGGCTAAAATAGTTTCCATGTGGCCTGCGGAGCGGTAAAGCATTTTGGATTTTTGGGGAGAGGAGAGAAAACAGAATAATGTTGTTGATTAGAGCTGCACAAGGACATTTTGGATACACGTTTAAAACGAAATTACTACATACTTGTGTACTGAATGTGTGTGGTGGTGTGATCTACTGGAGCACTACTTAAGACAAATATACAACAGAAAATAGTTCAACAAAGCAATTGCTAAACAGTGGACTGGGCCAATTTTTATCGACAAATAGGTCGAGAAATACTATATAAACAATTTAAAGTAACGTTTAACTTAAAATCATTTATATTAAAATTTCTCAATTAATATAGTTGAAACCAAAAGGGTTAGTTGTTAAGTGTAGTCTGTGAGTGTGCTGGTTGGTTAGGACACAGTTAGGCCATTATATAGGCAATAACACTTACAGTTCTGCTGAAGTAATCAGTAAGAAAGTAAAATAATACAATAACATAGCATGAAATTATAATACAAGGTTCGCCTAAATCGAACCCATCGCAACAGTGAAGTTAAAGGGGGACAAGCGATAGATGTTTGTTTGTTTTAAAACTAAATAGAAAGCACAACATTTTGTTGTGACAGCGCGATAAAAACAACATTTAAACTACTACAACAGACGATTATTTTACCAATTCACGCGCTTGGCACTCAAGATCTTGAGTATGTTTTCAACCACATCAGTACTGGAGTGGGTGCCGCCAATATCTAGAAGAAACAGAGATGATATATGTGATTCTGTTGGGTAAGCAAGTCACGGGGTTAATAATCACCAGGCGTGCGAATGGCATCGTTGACAATGGTCTGGTAGACAGCCTCCTGGATGACATTGGCGTGCTCCTTGTGGCCCAGATGGTTTAACATGTCGATACTGGCATTGATCATGGCCACGGGGTTAGCGATGTTCTTGCCGGCAATGGCAGTTCCTGTGTTACGGGTGCCCGGCTCGAAGATGGCGTACTAATACATAAAACATGCAATGTTTAGGGTAATACATTTAAAAACAATTAAAGAGACTCACATGGTCGCCGTAGTTCCTGCCGGAAATGAGACCAGCTCCTCCCATAAGTCCGCAAAGGACGTTGGACACAATGGTGCCGTACAGATTGGTCATGTTCATGACGTCAAACTGATGGGGATTTGACACGGACTGCATGCAGGTGTTGTCGATGATCATGTTGTTGTGTTCCAGCTCGGGATAGTCCTTGTGCACTCGGTTGGCCACCTCCAGGAAGAGACCGTCGGAAAGCTTCATGATGTTGGCCTTGTGGATGGTGGTCACCTTCTTGCGATTGTTTTGGCGAGCGAACTCGAAGGCATAACGGGCCACTCGTTCCGCGTTTTCCACGGTCACCACCTTCATGCTTTCCACAATTCCGGGCACAGATTCGTGCTCCAACATGGCGTACTCGCCATCGGTGTTCTGGCGGATAAGCACAACGTCGATGTCGTGATGGCGAGCCGGAATGCCGGGATACGACTTGCAATGCACCACATTCACGTACAGATCCAGCTCATTACGGATAGCCACGTTGCGCGAGACTTCGGTCAGGGTTTGGGACTTGGTCTCGATGTTGCCCTTGAGCGCCACACCGTTTCTCTTGATCGAAGTTATAGCGTAGTCCAAATCATCGTTGCCCTCGGTGGAAGGGTCGATGTCAATCACTTCAAAATCGATGGGTGCACCGCAGTACCGGAAGATCTCGCGCACGTAGCCCATTAATTCCGGACCGATGCCGCCGCCCGGCAGCATGGTGACAGCATGACGACCTCCGTATTGCGCCGAGGGAATATCGGTACCCTGTTCACAAAGATATATAAGGATGCTATAACCTCAATCGGAGGCGAAATCCAGCGGCTAGACTCACCGTGACTTTCTTCTGCAGTGCCGATTTTGTATGAGCCACGTCCTCGGTCTTCTCCTTGGTCACCAGTAGGGGATAGCCCTGCAATCAGAATAGATAAAGTCGATCTATAAGATCTGTACGCATTATGTAATTATCATTTATTGGCCAATCTTCCGGCCGAGAAACGTACCCGGGTGAGGAACGGAGTCTGCGTCTGCAGCAATCTTTGGGACAAGCAGCGAAGGGCCATGTTTAGATCCTTGGTTTATTGTTTCTGGTGCTGCAGTCGCGTTTTTATTGTCAGTTAAATCACGGCCAATTTTATTCCACTTGGCCAAATCGCTGCTGTTGCTTCTTCTTCTTCCCTAGAACGACGGCTATTTAGAGTTGTCAAGTAAATTTAAATTTTATTCAAATAATTATATATGTAAACAAAAAATTAAATTATTGGACTAAAAAAATATTTTTTTTAAATTTTGTTTTCCATAAAACTCACGGTGAAAAAAATCCTCAATTATACAGAAGAAATCTTTGTCTTTAAAAACCTTGACAGTCCTATGAAGAACAGCTGTTAAATAAAGTATTGCCAGACTTCCGGAAATCAGCTGACTATTACGTTAACAACCACATTTAATATTTTTGTTTATTTAATTAATTAGAGCAAATATCCTGGCGGTATGACTTAAAGTAGGGTCTATTCCATATTTTTAAGACATGACAGCTGAACTGAGCCTGGACTCGGCCTCTGGTCCAATGGAAATCACCATTCAAGAGCCGGTCAACAAATTGAAATTTCTACATGCACTTGTTGTGAGTACTTCAAGCTCTTTAAAGGACAATAGAGATCCTAGCAGAAATTTTGCAGGCGGGAGGAGTGGCTGGCATGGTGGTGGACATCGCCCTCTTTCCCATAGATACAGTTAAGACCCGACTGCAAAGCGAACTGGGCTTTTGGAGGGCAGGCGGCTTCAGAGGCATCTACAAAGGACTGGCTCCTGCGGCTGCGGGAAGCGCTCCCACTGCGGCCCTGTTTTTCTGCACCTATGAATGCGGAAAGCAGTTTCTCAGTTCTATAACCCAAACCAAAGATTCACCATATGTGCACATGGCAGCGGCTTCAGCAGCTGAAGTGGTGGGATTCACATAGAAACTCTATCTTGCTTATGTATCTAATTCTGTTCTATATCCCTTAGTTGGCTTGTTTAATTCGCGTTCCCGTGGAAATTGCCAAACAACGCTCCCAAACACTTATGGGCAACAAACAGTCTGGCCTGCAAATCTTGCTTCGAGCGTATCGCACTGAGGGATTGCAACGGGGTCTCTACAGGGGATTCGGCTCCACTATTATGCGGGAGATTCCATTCAGTCTGATACAATTTCCCCTCTGGGAGTACTTTAAGCTACAATGGACTCCCTTTACCGGTTACGAATCGACTCCATTTTCGGTTGCGCTTTGTGGAGCCATTGCTGGAGGCATATCAGCGGGACTGACAACACCACTTGATGTGGTCAAAACCCGAATCATGCTAGCTGAAAAGGAAAGTCTAAATCGGCGTCGCAGTGCCCGGAGCATTTTGCATGGCATTTATGTAGAGCGTGGCTTTGCCGGGTAAATAATTTACTTTTAGACTTATAAACTTTAAGAAGATAGAAATTGCTTACCAGGCATTATATGTGATAGAAAAGCTATTTATCCTTTAATAGTGAACATTTTTTTAGGTTTATAGTTAATGTTAATTAATAATTAATGTATGTTTGTATTATTTTTCAGTCTGTTTGCTGGTTTTGTGCCTCGGGTGATGTGGATCACACTTGGCGGCGCTTTCTTCTTTGGTTTCTACGACCTGACGACGCGAATCCTGAATGCAACCAATACGGATCATTAAAAATAGGGCTATTTTCGTTGTACTTGTATTAGAGGCACATAGTAGTAACTTAACCGATGACAACCACCGTTTGGAGACAACGTGGACAATAAAGTTTATATGTATGTATGTACATAAAAGTCTTTTGAGATTGGTTAGGCGTTGGAAGCATTATTTGGTCCCTGTGGAAGAGATTTTATATAAAATGAGACATTGCATTGACTTAACTTACATCCTGAATATGCAGGCGACCGGTAAGCAAGCTGGCTGCAGTGCGGTGATCCCCCAGTTCATCTCCGCAGGCCATGGACACATCGGAATCCTCTTCGTCGACATTGATGTATCCCGATCTCGGGACCTTTCTGCGTCTTATACAATCCCAAGAAATCCGGCACCGGCTACGTGACATGGCATATACCTGTGGACACCCAAATGCATATATTAAGACAAATGTAAATGCACTTGAACAAACAGACGGCGATAAGGAATGTAACGCACCAAAGCTGCCAGAATGAAAATGCCAACAAGCACCGAAATGGGCATCCAAATGTACTGGGCATCGTCGGGATGAAGAATGTCTGATTCAGGACTTTTCATTGTCGTTTCCGGCTCAGAATGCTGCTCCATTTCCGGGGATTTACAAAAAAATCACAGCAACTGCGGAACGAAAAGTTCGTAAAAATTTAAGCGCTCGTAAGTGGTGCCAGACCGTTACTGAAATAGGTGGCAGCTCTGCGTAGCTATGTTTAGTTTTTCTTTGCGTTTAGTGTTTTGAGCGGGGATTTTCAATTGTAAACAAGCAATTTTAGTCCGAAGTTACCAATTTGTTCACACTCACCATTGTAAAGATGGATCCACAAAAGCCCAGAATATACAAAACGCTGAATTACACTATAACAAAGCGAAATACAGAAGCTCCCGTAAAAGTTGTGCCGCAAGAAGTCACGTTTTCAGACAGTACTTGTTTACTGGAGCTGAACAACTGCTGCCGCTTATGCTTGGAGGAGCCACATCCCAAACAAATGCTGGACATGAGCACCATTTATGACCAGGACGCGGAATTGAGCTATTACGACTGCTACGAGATCTGCACCAAAGAAGACCTCCGGCAGATAACAAACGATAGCGAGCCGAATACCTTGTGCAAACGTTGTGCAGTGGAACTCCAATGGGCTTATGATTTCCACAAGAAAGTGGCTATTGCCAATCAGCAGTTGAGGGAGATATTTTGCGTCACCGAAACCAGTGATGACCCTGATGAGGAGGAAGGTGAGGACGATGATGGGGATATGAGTGATGAGTTCCTTCTAGAGGAGGTTGAAGATAAGCACGATGACCCAGAAGCGCAGGATGAGCAGAAAACCACTAATAACCTTGATAATTTGGAGGACATCGTCCCACGCCATCGCCATTCAGGGCAATTCAGCTGCAAATTCTGCCACAAAGTGTTCAAGAACCATTCCCGCATGGCCAAGCACCGGCTCATTCACCTGGCCAACCGTCCTCACTTCCAGTGCAGCCAATGCGACAGGGGCTACCTTACTAAACAAGCCCTCAAAGTACACGTAGATTCAAAGCACAGGGAATCTGGATCCCGGTGCAACACCTGCGGCAAGGTTTTTGCCATTGCCAAAGCTTTGGAGATTCATGAACGCTATCACAACAGAGATTTTCCTTATGCTTGTGATCTTTGCGATCGGCGATTTGCACAGCGATCCCATTTGACTGTCCATCAGCAGGTGAAGCACACTGGCTCTCGCTTTATTTGCGAGTTTCCCAACTGCCAGAAGTCTTTTACTTCATCATCATCTCTCAGGAATCACGAGTGCACCCATACGGCGATGCCCTTTGAGTGTGCTCACTGCCAGCAGAGTTTCCCAGCTCGTAACAAGTTTGTTTTCTTTTAGAAATCAAATGAAATGAGAATTTAATAATGTATAATCTTGTTTTAGGCTTCGCGGGCACCTTGAGCGCAAACACAATATGCAGGTGGGGTTAGATGACCTGGAAGAGATGCGCAAGTTTCACATCGTGCGTTCAAAGTTGGTAATGGCGAAGGTTTATACAGGACACGAAGAATCAGACATCAGTCCCAAGAAGAATAGCAGTGATGAGCCTAACTAAGAAACCTATTTAAAAAAGTAACTTAGAAAGTTGAAACCAAAAGATGCTACTTGAACTTAAATATTTCTTAATATAATATGAGAAAAGCGCTGTAGAGAAGCTTATGTATGAGTTTAAGCGCTAAAATTAATCTCTACCATCACAAAATCCGTAAAATTGACTTACAAATATCACATTCAATTTATTTCACGCTTTCCTTTGGTTAGCTTACACGGATAAGGTTAGATATTCACAAACATATATAAAGATATCATAGACAAAATAAATGCTGCTAAATCTGATGGTATACAAGTTAAATCTCCGCCACAAGAATCCCTCAGTTAGACAACGTAAGAGCTAATGGCATGGCTTTGGCCAGTGCTGTGGAGTCATCCGGATGGGAGGATCCGGTGGCCGTGCCTGTCGTTGTTGTGGCCACATTACCATTGCCCGCCTCCGCTCGCTTTCTAGAGGTAATCTTTTTCCAACCACGCAGAAAGATTTGATTTCGGTACTTAGGCGTGGTGAAGGTGTACAAAAGTGGATTAACCGCCGAGTTCAAGGGCAGAACAAAGACCACGAGCCAAGCGTAGATGTCGTCCGATATATTGTAGTTGAAGAAGACCCAGATCTTCATAACAATGATTGGCACCCAACAGAGGAAGTCTGTCAGCACGATGAAGAAAAACCGCACCGCGAATTCACAGTCCAAAAGAGTCAGCGGCGTAGCACTCCGCGTCCGCCATATCGAGATCAGCAGGGCTGTATATAGCATAGCAATCATTACCAACAACAGCAGATTGACACCCAAAAAAACAAACGCCGAATAAAGCCAACCCATGGGAAAGGCCTCGTGGATGTGCAGTGGGAAACCTGTTAAAATACATTTCGTTAAAAGTAAATATTAATTTCGGCATTAAACTTTTTCATTACAAGTTCCGGAATAAGATCCGTAGTACGGCAGCGTGCTTGTCCGCCACAGAAGCACTGGTACAACCGCTAGACCCACTCCAGTAATCCAAATGCATATCAAAGCCAGCCACATCACCCGACTTCCGATGCTGCGGTGACCTCGAAACGGATCCGCAATCAGCAGGAAGCGCTCCAAAGACATGAAAGCCAGGATAAGCATCGACACCTCCGAAGAGCTCACAGCTAGGGTTCCAATCAACGTGCACTGCCATGAACTTATCCAGTCCAACACAACCCTGGGGGATATAGGGGTTTATGGCTAAAATGTATACCTACAGATTCGATAGCTACTTACTTGTAATACTCATTCCGGTAGCGGTAGTCCTGCACACCGATGGTGACCAAATAGAAGCCCATCAGCATGTCGGCCAACGCCAGATTCCGGATCACCATTGTGACTGCCACATTCTCATCCCGATATATAAACCGTCCCCAAAGGACCAAAACATTTCCAGCTATTGTTAAGGTTGCCATCACCCAAGCAGAGTATCTAAGAACGGGTTTGCTCAATAAATCCTGAAATGAACTGACTCCATCGGTGGATGGCTTGCACATCCTGACCCGCGGAGTCATCGAGCAGTAAAAGAATCGATCGTAGATTATGTAGGTGAGGTTTCGCATCGCATTGATAGCAGCAAAGTCTATGTGATCATATCGGATACCCGTGAGATTCAAGAAAGAGATGTTCAGCGGCTCCATCAAACTGCTGGTGATGTGTATCGGCATTTGGGCCAAAGAACTGGAATGTTGGTGAGTGTTTAAAAAAGTTACCAATGCTGAATTAAATTATACTCACAGTGCCTCCAGTCGAGTGTTGTGCAGAAATGTTTCGCCAGATAGCTCTTTAATGGGATTACCGACAAGGCGGCTGTAAAACGAAATGCACGTCTAAGAATTATTCGCAGATATAAGGTTACGGATACGCAGCGTGAGCCGCCCATAAAGGCCACGCATTTGTTGCTGATAACGCCAGCCCACGTTGTCGCCTTTAAAAGTTCTTACAAAAACAAATTTCTCCTTTTGGCGCGACTTTAAGCCACAGCCACAACAAGTTGGTTAAAGCTTTTAAAAGTCACATAATAAAATACCGCTGGGCAGCATAATAACGAAAATTCTTATTTAATAGCTGGCTGAGTATAAATCAGCGCACAAACATTGTCTATCAATGTGTGGAATAGATTCAACTGGCCGGGGCTTAATGTGTTGGCAGGAAAGGGCGCATCATTCATGGCAGACAGGATGCGGCACAGTGGTTTGAAAACAACTATAAAGTCGGTGCAACAAAAACAATAACATTTCCATTTTAAAGATGTAAAACGACTTTTAAAAGGAGTCAATATTTTATACCAATAGATATATTACTTTTTAAATTTACTAAAAACTTTTTAACTTTCCTTTAAACTTAGCTAGGAAACCCCAATATATTGACCTATTTTGGCGACACTTTTCCTCCGTGTGGAGAAAGTTATTCTGGTTTATTATTATGTTTATCGCGTAGGGGGATAATAACTTGAATATTTTCTGTGAATCGGGATAGGGGTGGTTCGGTTCCACCGTGTCACGTCCATGGGAATTGCAGCATCTGATGTGAGATCTAAGGAACTGAATCTGATGGAGATGGTGTTGTGAATGTAGATGTGGGATATGTGGACTCTGACGTTGAGCTCTTCGTTGGAGCTCCATTGCTTGCACTTGTCTGGTCAATCAATGCCCCAGCACCAACTGTTAACAGTTTGTTTTTATGGATTGTCGCCCAAAGACAATGGACACAACCCCCACCTCCGCGACCACCAGGAGCTGCCACAGATTGCTGATAATTGCTTGCTGGCTATAAAGTTGCAGCGCAATTTTTCGTAGCCAAGGCGGGGAAAAGCTTAAACTAAATATTTAACTCGGCCACAAAATTGAGGCGTCGAGCTGGGCCGGCAAAATAATTTTTATTATGTAAATTTCTAATTAATTATTGAGGGGCAGGCCTTTTGGATCGACTGGCATCATGATTTTGCCAGCGGTTCTTGGGCCCCAAAAGTCCGCACTTAATAACTTCATAAATATCCGGCCAAACCAGACGACACACGAGCACAATTAACATATTTTTACTTGAAGGGCAACAAGTTGCAGTCCCTTACTGTTGGGCCTCCCAATAAGCCCCAAGTAATGCCCATTGTTCATGGACGAGCACATCCTCCAGTGGCCACATACACGTGGCCCATTCCGGGGGGCACAAAAGTGGGCTAACGTAACTGCGTCACAATCGAAGGGTCCGGAGACTACTGAGTAAACGATGAAGGGCTGGATGGCGGTCATTGCGCATTTAAGAAAATGACAAATAAATGCCTCTAGTTGTGTTTGTGCGCTACGTGCAAGGATCGAAAAATCATAGCGAAGAAATATCACAAATGTTGGGGCGGTTGCAAGAGTCTAGAAGACTACTAAATACCCTTTCACTGCTCATTGTTTGCTAGTAAAGTACGAGTATATGTAAGCAAATTTGACTCTTAAAAGGTTAAGATAATATTTTTGAATGAGGAGATAATTATGCATATATTTTAAATGCTGCCAATATAACATTAGTAGTATTAATCCTCGAGTTCCCAGATACTTTTTCCAGCGCACAACCTATTCAAAGTACCCCATTTCACTCTGAGTGCATATTAACCAAATGAAGCCATTTACGCTTCCCTTGCAAATGACACGTTTCAGTTGTGGATTCTTTTGGGGCAATGTGCTGTACAGAGGTACTGTGGCATTTGTTAGTGATGCACTGATGCGGGCGGGGGCGGTGCTTATGTTGACCATAATTAACGTCACGGCCATGTCCACAGCGGACAATGCAGAACTTAAAGGTCTTTAAAGTCAATGTACCATACCGAATAAAAAATCCCTGTAATGATCTGTCAGTGGTTCAGTGGCTTGACATCAGGAATCAAATTAGTGCAGCGATTTCTCAAATATTTTCGCTTTCGTTTGTTTTATGGCCACGTCCCCATCCTGAGATATCCCCTTGGGGGATACCAAAAGACAAAACAAATCAGCAGAAATTGCTGTAGGAAGACAGATACATGAGCAGCATTTAGATGCGTATCTGATAGATACAAATACACGGACACAGATACGCTGGCCAAAGGAATTTTTGTGCAGTTTATTTTAGTCGGTGAACACAAGAAGAAATGAATTAAAACTGAATAAAATACAAAATTCAACCTAAGTAAATATTCGACAGGTTTCTCAGAAATATAAAACGCAAAAAATATAGCATACAATTTTGCGCTGTATAAATTCTTTGAATGATTTTTGAACTAACTTAAAAACTATAGACAGACAATCTATCAATGATAATTAATAATAATTATTTTCTGCACTTCAAGGCAAAGTATTCTTATAAGAAAATAACCAATTGATTGTTATTTATAATCATATTTTTTTTTTTCCGTGTGACTATAAAAACCTTACACTTGGCATACGAGCTCCCAGAATGCTGAGAAATTCCTAGCACGCCAACAAAGGGCAAGTTATTTGCATGGGGGTTGGGGTGAGCGGCAAGGTTACAGGATGGGTGGTAAGTTGTAAGATTGTGAGAGGTGTCATCAACAGGCGTAAAGGATTCGCAGCTCGAATGAGGGGAGGGACAAGCAACATCTAATGAAGCAATGACGATTGGGGAATACCGCCCCGAGTCGATTTCAATAAACTCCTTCATTATTGGCCCACAACTTGGCCGGAGTTGGTTACAGTTACTGGCCAAGGCTTTGGCGAAATTGTTTTCACATAAAATACAAATTTATTTGCATTTTTATTTGGTCATAATAATGTTTGTTTATTTGGCTGCGTTGGCCAGAAGTCAAAGTCAAAGTCCCAAAAGATACAAAAATGCCAAAGCCAAAATTTCGTTTGTATTATAACCAATCTGGTCAAGCCAGAGTGTGTGTTATCATTCTTGATATGCTGATGTATATGTATATGTATCTATGCTAGATGGGTTTGGTAAATTTATTAAGGCCACAGCTTGATGCTAGACGATGGATGCAGAGTTGCCGGAGACATTTATTGAATATGCTATTGATATATGGTTATGAAAGCCAGAAAGCAACATATAACATCTATTTCAGACACACACAAACACAAAGGTTCATAGAAAGATTCTATTTACAAGCCATGATTAAAGCTCTCAACGGTTTCCTTTTTACTATTAAATATTAAGCATACGCCATGTTGTCTGAGGCTCATCAAATTCCTTCCTCAAAGCGTTAAACAATTTGTTTTCCTTTTTTACGATTGCCGTTTATAGATTCGCCCACTTACTTTAGAGTTTGGCCATAGCTTGTATAATAATAAACTATGACTATAAAGGTTAGATTAGTTGGCCCAAGGGGGTAAACTTTTTTATAGCGCGGGCGTGGTCAAGTTCATAAAAACATTTCTATCTTTGCAATTGATTAAAGAGTATCTTCTGGTATAGCATCTCAGTTAAGTTTCTTTTCCCTTTTTGTTATTATTTATTTGTCTGTGGGCGCAAAAGTTTTCAACTTGAGTTTTTCATAAACAGAGAGTCACATTTCGTATACGTAATTGCGCATTAATGAACTCAAATTAATATCATTGAATATGATTTTGAATCACAAAGCAAATGTCCAGTAAGTGGGTGGGAATTTGCGGGGGCTTGGCTGGTTGAAATCCTTTGCCAAATTAGGATTTACTTTTGGGACATTCCTGCGGCTTTGTGCTGATTCTTTGACCAGAGATGAGGCGAGTTCATTTACTTGTGTCCCAGCATTATTCGTATTATTATGCTAATTAGCTCTGTGTCGCCATAATTCATGCTTAGTGTCGGTGTTAAACTTTCAGAAATACAGAATGAAATTCATTCCCCACTCCTTTTTCTATACTTACATATCTCGCATATTGGTTAGATTCGCAAACGCTCGTCCATGGATGTGAGTGATGAGGTTGTGCTGGAGATCTCTGTGAGTAGAAAAAATATTCGAAATTAATATAAATTTATTTATTAACTAAGATAATTATTCTTTAGTAACCCCTTATACCACAACAGCTATTTTTCTTTTCCTTCTTTAACTACCCATATGCTTCACATCACCAGATAAATTGCCGACACATATGATGCGATGATGGGCACGAATATTGCGACACAATTTATCCCATCTAAATCTCATCGCCTCTACTCGTTTCCAATGCCTGTAAAGGTTAACACATTTATTTACGTTGGGCAATTTGGGTAACTGATTTATTTTCAGTTAGCAGCGAGGCGTCGGCCACCCAGACGACCCATTGACTTATATTGTCAGCTATTGATGCATAAATTAATGATTATATATACTCCGTCAGTCGGGGATTTTGAAGGCAAGCGGTAGGTTGTCTACCAAAATTTGGGTAGACTTTTGATAAATTCTTGTAAATTGGTTAGGTGTCGAACTTTGTTGATACTCCTTTCTTGGAAGTATCTTTACTTATTGTTAACTTCTATAAGTAATAAATATTTCCTAATATTTTCTTTTAATAATTGTAAAACTAGAAAAGGGTACTTCCAACTTCGACTATCAAATTGATTTCTTTGCCTTGTTATTTTTTGTCACTCCTCGTGTAAATATTTGTTTAGCATATGTTATTTGGGTAAACAATAAACGTGCCAATTTATGGTTATTGATGCATAAATTCAATTGTTTTTGGTTTGCTGGTAAAAAAGGTGTCCAAGTATCGAATATCCACCTCAATGTCATGTCAACAGTGCGTATACGCAATGCCCCATATCTCTTTTTCACTGTCTCAGCAACAAAGTAACCCACATAAATCTCTCAAAATAAACAAGTACGAAAAAAAAGAAATCCCTGTGAAAACGAAAGCAAAATGCAACGAAGAGTAAAAATTACGCATACGCCCCATAAAATCTAAGTACAACATATTTCAATAGACTTTTCGACACTTGCTGGCTGCTTTTCCTCTCTTTTTTCTTTGGGTTTTTTTTTATATCGAGGGGGTAAAAGTTGATTGTTTTACTTACAGCAAATGTAAATTATCCAATTGGGAAAAAGTTTCCTCGCCAATGTATTCGATTCGATTGAAATCCAAATAACTGTAAAAGTAAAGAGATATTTATGCAGGCATCCAACAATCTGGTTAAGCTTTAGACCTAGTTCTGTGTATATATATATTTTTGGGTTAGTGTTCTAAGACTGCCTTAAGCTGTTTCTGTGTGCTTGTGTGGACAAGTGAGGAATGTTTTCTTGGGCAGATGTAAGATAGTGTGATAGTTAAAGTAGAGAAACTAGACTCGACTTTAAGGGTGATCTAAAAACCTTAGAACTTAAGATATAAAGTTAACCAATCAGAAAGATGGAAATCAGTAAATGTAAAGGTAAGTTTAAAAACCTACAGGTTGCAACTTTGAATCATCAACTTTAAACTCCAGTTAACACCAATAAAGCTCGTGAAACTGATACTAAGTGAGTGCAACCACGTTGACAACATTGTGCCAGTCCGTAAACCAGCAATCCAGCAGGACACCCAATACCCGAGTAACCCAATGAGCTTGGTGCTGCGCCAGCTTTTAACAGCATTTTACGCTTGAATACATCAGCGGAGCTGCTTGTCCAGAGACCGACCCGAATTCTCTACAGTTTTTAATCTAGCAAATAGAAGAGCAACAGCCCTCTATAGCCAAAACCCAATTCGATTTACTCACACTTCGTAAAGCGACGGGATTTTCGGCAGCTGCACATTCCGCAGGGTGAGGCGATTCCTACTCAGGACTAACCATTCCAATCGATGGAAGAATCGTAGCTGTTCCATGGGCAGGTGGTGCAATTGGTTGTTAACCAGGAACAGCCATTGGAGGCTGTGTAGTCCCAGGAAGACGCCGTGGGGCAGGTGGCTTATATTGTTGTGGCTTAGCTCCAGGCGCTCCAGATGAAATAAACCACTGAAGCTGCCCAGCGGGACACGTGATATGTTGTTGTATTTGAGTGTCCTGTGGAAGAATGAGGTAATTCAGGTGAGTTGCAGTAAAATTTAGCTATTTGTTTCTTCAAAATTTAACTGATATATGGACTTGCTTGAATTTCTCTAAAGTTAGTCTAGATTATAAAACCTATATTTTACTTTACTCACAACTTTTGCAGGCGGGTCATGTTGGCAAAAATATTGTCTCGCAGGGTCAGGTTGTTGCGGATAATGATCAGATTGGTGACCTCCGAACTGATTCTGGGAAATCGACGCAACTTGGCATAGCGACCGCAGTAGAGAATGGTTCCTCGCTTCCCTCCCTGACCACACTGACAAGTTTTTGGATATGTGACGATATCTAAGGATTCCAATTAAGGTAAGTGTACAAAAGGATTAAAAGATAAAAATAACTTAAAACATATAATGAAAGTATGGTTCTCTGAAACTTATTTATTGATTAATTACTATTAAATCATAATTAATTAAAGATTTCTTTAACCATTCTTCAAGTGTAAGTGTAATTGTAAACTTACCACAAGTCATGTTTAAAGTTAGACTTTGATTCCTTGGCACCGTCGGCGGTGATAAATCCACACCGCTCGCATTCGAAGTTGAGGAGATTAGGCGCTGTTGCTTCTTTTCAATCGCATTACGCACAATCTTGTCGGCCATCTCCTTGCTGCCGTAAAGGAGTCCGCACTCCACAGGATTTTCGTCGCTGCTGTCGGCGCAATCGTGCCGACTGTCGCACATCTGGCGCCTTGGAACGCACAGCGTGCCGTTGTCGCAGGCGAAGCTGCCCGTGGGGCAGGGTCCTGCCAAGGAGACAAGACAACAACAAATAGATCCCGAATTAATTATCACCCAAGGACACCCAGAACATATTGCATTCGCTTTGGTTTTAGTTCAGAAGCAAAGCAAAACCTAGATAAATTGTTATTTTAACAAGATTGTAGTTTTGCGACCCCTAAATTGTTTATTAAACAAATTTTTACAAAAATTAGAATTATATTTCCAAATTGGCAAATACAAATTTATAAGTTTGCCATTCATTTTTTTCTACACGGGCTTATCACTTGGTCAACAGTGCGTATGAGTAATTACTCTAATCGCTGACAGGCAAACTTTAAACTCAAGTTGACAACTTAATTTGTGGGCCCTTATTGTCATACCCTCGATCAAACAAAGTATTTCAGTTATTGTTTGCCTTCTTGTCAAGACATGGCAATTAAATTTAATGTGCCAAAAAGTTTGTCGTATCATTTCTTTTATTTTTGAAAAGTTTGCTTTGTTAGCAATATGTTTTTTCAAGCATTAAAATCAAGTACATGAATCGAAACGATGACTTCAAATAAATTATTAAGCCATTGTAGCTAATTTAACTTCAACAGTTGATCTGAGTTTAAGCAATTAATGGACGAAATAGCTTTCATTTCATATTCTTTGGATTTAATTTATCCTGAGACATTTTCTGCCTGAATGCCTACAAGTTTTTTTGGGTAATTGTCGTAAAACGAAAAGACAATTTTGTTTTGCATTTTATCATTTTTATGATTTGTTTGGGTGCCACGACTAGAGAATCTCTACAAAAATTGAGCAATTCAAATTACGAGATTATGGAACATAGTTCGTTAGACAAATGAGCAAATAAAAGTGAAAGTGGAGCACCTTGAAGGGCTTTTAATCCGATTGCACGGATTGCGTCAGAAACATATTTTTTTTGGGCTTGTTTTCTAGTTTATATCGTAAAAACTTTTCTCTTTAAATGATTATTTATTAATATAATCAAACTGAACATGTCAGAAATGTCTTTGATAGAAGGCAAAGAAGACAAATTTATGATTTTGTGTGACTTCATTTTACTTATTAAATTAAATCTGCTAAAATAATTATAATATATGTCTAGTTTTAACACATTAACTAAAAATTCCCTCTAAAATGGTTATAGTTTCCTTCAACTAAATAGTTCGTCATTTACTTCTCATAAAACTGCATAAATTTATATCTTCATCTCGTTGCCCATAAGAATAAGTGTGTAACTTCATTAGGAAGGAATCGTAGTCACACAAAAGCAAATGTGCATTAGGCGAGACTTTCAATTTCATTGTGTCCATGACGAGGACACATGTTAACACAAATCATGGCTCCTTTGGCATCCGCCTTCCCATCCTTAAACTTCCTTTTCTCCGGCTGATTTAAACCTAATCCGGACAAATTCTCTGCTCTCAGGCAGATAAATAATTTGTCGTGATGCATGTACTTGGAATCCGAGGCGACAAAATGGCATAAATCAAACATGTTTTGCCTATATCTGCTGGTATGGCAAATCAATACGCAAATTGGCATAAAAAATATAATATTAAGGCAGCAACAGCAAAAAGCAGAGCGATTTCCTTCGATATTGATACTCGTAAAACAAGATAAAAGCTTTGAACGAGGAACCAAAAACATTCAGGACCAAAAGGCCCAGATATATTTCCACTTATTTTTTGTCTATGGTCGTGCGAAAATTGTTTTGTGCTCAAGACAAAGTTTGCGCCGTACTCGTATTTATTTTTTTATGGTCAGGCGTTTGTTGTTTTTCCGCCCCATTCTGATTTTTGTTGTTGCTTTATTTTTATCGTATTATACAACAAATTACTTTCAAATACTTTTGAGTATAAAATTTATGGCCATTTTGCAGTTTGGAATTTGATTTGGGTTTTTGTTTAGCTTGAAGGGAGCTCTTCTACAAATAAGGGGTTTCCAATTTATATACACTTCACCACAAGCATCTTGGGGTAATTATTTATGTATGTTTCGAAAAGCTTTAAATAGAAAACTTTAAAATAATTTTCTTCTTTTTTAAATCAGAGGTTAAAATAAGTCTTAATAAATACAATTTTCGTTTTACTGCAGAAAATGTAATATATTTCTTGGTTATTTTCAAGGTAATGAAATAAGATAAAGCGTAGATTAATAAATATATATTATATGCAACCTATAGATAGGATTAAAAATTAGACCTACCCAAACTTAAGTAAAATATTACGGCGGCCAGCAGAAGGACGACGGTCATCAGGCAGACGCCTACGGCAATGCTCCTCCCGTAGACCATTGCGATTTATCGGTTTGGTCCTGTTTTTCCAAGCTCGCTTATCTAATTACTTGGCCACCGCACTGGCTGCACTGGCTCCTTGACCGAGTTCATCATTAGGAGCACTCAATTCCCACTCCGGGCACGCCCCCACTGGCAACAACAAAAACAACTCCAACAACCGATGCGGTGCTGACTCATTGGGTTTTTATATTATTATTTCTTATATCGTTCAGTCGTTCTTTTTTTTGTTAATTTCTTGTCACTTCATTTGGCTAATGTTCACAGCTCGTCGAGATGAGTTTTAAGTGCCAGGATTACATAGCAGATGGAGCGGAAGAGGGAGCTAGGGACACGGGAGGGGAGTTCAAAATTAATATTTTGGATGGCAAGTGCTTTCCACTTGGTGGGGTTTCGATTTCAGCGCTGGATAAAATTGATTTGATGTCCATAAAAAATATGCATAAAGTGCTATTTTGACAGACGACGGGCTTAAGTTTCACAGACAGATTAAAGTTATTGGCAGTTTTCGAAAAGTATTTCTAGGGAAATTGATATTTTCCTTAAAAGCAATTTAATAATCAGTCAAGAAAAAGAAATTTTATTCAAATCTAACAACTTAAGCTTTGATGATTTAATTTGCCTAAAATATGGGTATTTCCATTGACAACATTGAGCTTTAATAAATGGTGAATGAAATATTATTCTTAAAGAAAAATCTCCAAAAATAAGTGAAAAGGAACCCATAAACATTGGCTTTATTTTTTTCCCCCCGCTGAGGGTTACAAATCGAAATGAATAATTTGAGTTGCGAGTCGAAAGAAGAAGCATTTGGCCCCAGTCATATGGTTTTCCTACTTTTAAGTAGCTACTTTTATTTCCTAATTTATGCAAGGCATTAGCCGAACTCAAGGTTATAAAGTTGGAAAATGTACTACGAAATGTAAGTGCAATATGTGACCGGCATTAGTGGGCCCTTTTCTGCGACATTTCTTTTTCACAGGCTGATTAAATTTCGTTTAATTGAGTCGGTGGGCTGCGGGTTTATATGCCTCCCAGGAGGTCTCAAGGTCAGCCAGAGACAAATCATAATTTCCGCAAAAGGTCACAACATTGTCTCGGCAATGCATGATCCCTTAACTGAAACGGGGACTCTCATTATCGCAATCATCGCAATTGAACAGCATTTGGTGTGGAAAAGCATCATAAAACCGGAGCGGTTTCGTCCTCTTTTTGCTGCCGGGCCACTTAATGCTCCCTCGACCACTTTGTAGATTGTGTCAATTGATAGGATAGGATGTCCCGAAAAACAGACCATTCAAATGTGTGTTCTTTCGCCTCTTTATTCCTTTCGGGCCACTTTCACTGCCCTCTTAAGTGGAAAACACTTTTGTTTCATTTTTCTTCCTTTTTGAAAATTCAAAAGTCCGCGCGCTTCTTTAGGAAAAGTGATTTTCTGAGAGCATCGGATATCCACAAGGATAAACAAGGACCAAACACGTCCACGCACAGCGGCCAACTGAAGCTGGTAAGAGCATGTGTTACTGATTTTGTTTTTCCTCCGCACAAGAAAAGCGACCGAGCAGCTTCGGGTTTTCAAAAGACTTCGGCTGACCGTTGGGTTCAGCTGCTGCGGTTTCCTTTTCCAACCAGACGCTTTCCACAGTTCACAAGGGTCCTAGTTCATTGTTTTTTTTGAAGTTAAATATTCCATTTCATTAGAAAATCTGTGCTGTCCCAAAAGTAAACACAAATTCTTATTTCGAGTTTAAAGAAAAATCATAAAAATGTATTTATTAGCTAATTAGATATATAATGCAATTAGAATTTGTTCTAAAACCGTTTTTAGTTTAATTTTAATAGTAATGTATATTAATCAATAAATTGCATTTCGGTTGGTGTCTTTTGTGGTTCACTATCAGTTTGTGTAAATATTAAATATTGCTAATTAAAAACATAATACACAAAAGCGACTTATTGGTTGTTTTTTAGTTTTATGCCATAAACTATAACTAATACGTGACACTTTCGCAATTGTTAATGCTTCGGTCTTATGTTTCGATATCCGGTGGCTAAGGCTAAGCACTTTAAAAGTTAAACTTTTCAACAAAGCATTGCTAATTTGTAATTTGTTTTTTAAAGCTGCGCTAATTGCTAAGTACAATAAGTTTTGTGTAATTCGAATTGTGAATTCTATAAAGAATTATTCTGTGGGAGACAAATCACTAAGTGCACTACTTAAATGTTAAAAAGGCGTTTCAAGTTTCGATACTTCGAATTATTGCAACAATCATAAAGTTCATTGTTAAGCTAACAACTAATGGCGAATTGTAGAGATTTTAAAGGGTTTTTGTTAACGTGTAGACTAGCAACAAAAATTAAACAAAAGTATATAGCACACAAAATTAAAATTAGGGACATGTGATTATGGATCATTAACTACATTAAAATACAAAGTACAGTGCAGAATATGTAGACATGTGGTTTGTGTTTACAAATTTGTAACATTTATCATTGCATTGAGAGATCCATAGAGTGTGATTGGAATGTAATCATACTGAAACAGTAATCAAGCACGTTAATCATTGTAAATTTGTATAGAATATTATGTAAAATTGTGATATTCATATATGGAATTCTTCCTTGTTTCGTTTCCAATATGCATTCAAGATATGTTCATCAAATTTTGTTCCCAAAAACATGTATTGGATAATGAAAATGTTTAGAAAAATAGTGGTACTGCCTAAGGATCAACCTAAACCCATACGCCATGAGGATTTTTACTTGTTGGAACTGCCGTTTCCAGTTGCCTAGGTGAACCGATGATCCGCCGACTGCTGCCCTGCTTGTTGGGTCCCTCCAGCAGATGCTTGATCTCCTCCGTGGTGGTCACCGTCAGACTTTGCAAATTAACCTCTTTCATCTCGTTGACCAGCTGTTCTACCTGCCGCTTCTTCTCGGCTATGGCATGCTCTATCATCAGAAGCTCTTTCTTCAAACTATCAGCCGTTTTGTTCGAGGTGTCAGTATTATGCAAGGCCTGGTCTATTTCGCTTTGTATTCTCTCCATTTCCATTAAGAAGTCACGCTCGACAGTTTGCCTGAAAACAAAAAAAATCAAAAATTGTAAGTAAACTTTATAAATAAATTTCTTTCTTTTACACTCACCTATTGGTCTGCTGCTGCTGTTGCTGCTCTAGCTCTATATCATCCATCAGCAATCGCATTTTATTCTTACATTGTAGCAGCTCAGTCTCGCAATTAGCCAACTTAGATCGGAGTAGGGCAATTTCTGACTTCAGAGTCTTCTCCTGTTGCTTGACCAGTTCGTTTTCCTCCTCCACATATTGCAGGGTCTGAAGCTGTTCACTGCCTTGTCGAAAGATTTGATCCGCCTTGGATATCTCACGCGATATGGCCTCCAGCTCGTGGGCATGATCGCGTTCTTTGCTTTCTAAATATACTATTTCCGTATCGAACTAAAGGAAACAAATGTATTAACAATGTACAAAGCAATCCAAATAACTTAATAGTCTAACCTTTTGCAATTCCATTTGCTGTGCTGTGATCTTCTCCCGCTGAAACTTGATGAGCTGCAACAAATCGTTGTACTGCGTGGCCTGGAACATGGTCTCGCCCTCCTCCATGGCCTGGCTATTGTTATTAATGTGGTTATTGTTGTGGTTGCTGTGCTGATCGTAGTCACTGAGGAATGGATTCGTTGAGGAGGAGGCATTCGACATGGTGTCCGCATTGCTGCTAGCCAAACGTTGACCCTGGCACATTGGACTATTTCTCGGGGGCGGCGGATCACGATATGGAGGTGGGACTAGAGCTCCATTCGCGGAAATCGTTGGTGTCTGCTTGTACAGCTCTGGTGAGTTATTATTGTTATTAACATTATTATTATTGTTGTTGTAGTACATCTCGTTGGGACTGGAGCGTCGTAGTTCATTACTGGATTTGCTCAGCTGGCTGTATATATGCTGATTACTGCTGCTATTATTGTTGTAGAAGTCATTGTATCCATTTGTAGCACTTGCTGGTGCATTGCTACCCGTGCTGGTCATGTCTAGAGGATTGGACAGCGATTTCTCATGCTTTGGCACAAGTGCTACATTGTTATTATCCTGCGGTGGCAACTGTTCCTGTTGAACAACTGATGGGCTTCCAGGAGCCACGGCAGTCGGTGGTTGTGGCTGCAATTGCTGCTGCTGAGGAATTCCTTTCACAATTCCAATGTTGTCAAACTGTTTGGCATCATAGCCCCTGCAAGAAATTCATATAGTTAGTATTGTTTGTGTAAATAGTTTACCGTTTGTTATCTTATTATCAATTAGGGGCCGGTAAGCGGCTTAAAGGGTAGTTTCAATATAACTGACATACAAAACACACCCACCCAAAACTCTTTTTCAATTCCTTTGTACGGTAGCTGAGTTCGACGTTCGACTTTTGCTTTTGCAAAGTGGGCGCTGGCTTATTATTATTATTGTTTGGTCCCAGCGGCTTTTTCGTTGTCATCACAGCATAGTTATTGTTGTTATTATTGTTGTTTTGCTGTTGTTGTTGTTGTTGTTGTTGTTGTGGTTGTTGCTGTTGTTGCTGTTGCTGCTGCTGCTGCTGCGTTTTATTCTCAGAACGTTGTAATATAAACTGCACATCATTTGCATACTCGCCCCATTTAAGCAGCAGCTTCATGGGATTCTCATTGGGGGCCAAATGGCGTTCATTGTTACGCCACCTTTCGATTAAAGTGAATCTTCCCACTTTCCCGGTGGCATGGGCCAAAGCAAAGACGACATCCTGTGGGAAATAAAATGATAATTAAGGAAAAATCAATAGATGGTGTATACAGTCGCGGTCAAAAAATAAAATATATATTATGAAGACATAACACGATTTCTTTTACATTTATTAATGAAAGTTAATATTTACTAAAATTAACTTTAAAAACGAACAAATAAATCTATAAAATTTCGAAATATCCCAATTAAATAGTGCTATTCTTTTGACCTCGGCTGTATCTCACATACCTGACATGTGGTGTTCACTGTAACGCCGCAAACAATCCGCTGGATGCCCTCAACCCAAACTTTCAGCTCCATTCCGGCTAATTGTCGTTGTCTTTCTAAAAATCGACCAATTATTTCCGTTTCTTGGTGTTTCTGCTACCAGAAAATTGCTTTCTTGTGCCGCTCCAGCTGTAAATGGGGTTCTACGCTAATGGGTTTTGCTTTTTGGCGCTTGACTGGCGTTCTGCTGTCGCGCAGCCAGCGAAGCGTGTTGCCTAGAAGTGCAGCCTATCCACTTTTCCACGTTTTCGCCGCCCCGCTTTTCCACGATTTTCGCTTAATTTTCCGATCACAGCTTCAGCTTCTTCTTCACTTGCACTTATTTACTACAACAAGACGACTGGTTCCGTACGTTTGCATGTATGTTCCACTGGGCGTGCGGCTGTGTGTGTGAGATGGAAAAATTCTGATTCACTTTTCGGATATCCGATTTTTTGTTTACTTTTGTGCTTCCGGTGGATTAACAACGATTCTTGTTACTACAGAACTCTAAGCTAAGCTCTAAGCTTATTTTTATAAAAATTTTAACATAGTAACGCGAAAAATAAACTGAAACATTGTTGTTGGCAATGCACTTGTACTCGATGCCCAAAAATCGATAGCACTACCAACAAACGAGGGATGGCCAAACAGGTGTGTTTTCGGATTATCGATAGCTGTGCTAATTGGAGTGTGTATTTTCTACCCAATTCATATTTTCACTTACTAAATTTTATAAAAACAAATTTTATTTTTTTTTTATTTGATTAAAATTCTTGATTGCAATATTAATTGATTTCTACTCCTTAAGAATGTGATGCTTGGTAAACTTTTCACGAGAAGCTATTATGAGATCCAAGGATACTTAAATAAATGTTATATACGATAATGTTAAAATAATATGTTTACCCATTAATTTATTTGTAACACCAAAAAAAAATTAATTATATTATAAGTGATGCATATAAATTGAAGATTTAGAAGCTGAAAACCTGCTTACTTTAACTTTTTAATCAAATTTATTTAAAGTACAATTTTTTAAAGAAAGCTTAATTTTATCTGTCGATCTCAGTATTTTTCCAGTGCTCTCTACTCTGCCGTCTGTTCACACTGCAGACGATGGCGATGGAATAAATGATTACCCCGCCAACGGTCACTCTATTCGGTCACAAAACAATGCAATATTCCGCGGAGCAGTGAATTTATCCGAAAATAACATTCCGTGCCCAAAGCTTTGGAGGCCAAATACCAGGAAGCTAAACTCAGCTTTGGCCCAAATCCGAAAGAAACCGAATAAAAACTATTTCGCGATCTACACAATCGAATAGTGACAAACCAAAGAATCCTATTGATTTTGGGGCTGCAATTGTGCATTAAATATTAAGCGAAAAACGAGGGCTGGTCGCGTGGCAGCCAGTGGCAAATTGTTGCTCCTGCGGCACAGGACACCTGGACACAGGATGCGGGAAAACCAGCGTAGTGAAACCCTGAGGATTGGTTAGGACTGGAGGAGCAACTGGACTGTTGAAGAACTGGGCTGAGGGGAACACGAAAGCCCACTGAATATTTCCACTTATATTTCGGGGCGTGTGTGTGCCAAAGCGTAGCTAAATAACCACAACAATGGCCAACAGCAGTCGAAGTCGGGCCATTTTGAGCGTTAATCTTGATGCGGTCATGGCCAACGATCCGTTGAGGGAGCTCTTCGAGGCCTGCAAAACGGGCGAGATCGCCAAGGTGAAGAAGCTTATAACGCCGCAGACTGTAAACGCAAGGGATACGGCGGGACGCAAATCCACGCCACTGCATTTCGCAGCGGGTAAGTAACAGATATATAGGGGTCCCCTCATCCCTTCCAAGGACGGTCTAAAAACAGTAGAGAATCCTTTTGCCACCCCACCCAACCCCCTCTTTGAAAGGTTGAAGGACTCACCTAACTCAAACCCCCGCTGCAGTGCGGATTTGGCCTTGAGCTAGTTGCGCCTGGGTGTGACGGGCGTCATTGTCGTCGCTCTCGGTCGGACACTCGCCTGCTCCAATGGCGTCGAGAGTTGACCTAGTTTCCATGTCGCTTCTGCTTCTGCTTTTGCTTCCACCACGTTCTATATGTTCGGCTTGTTTCCGGAACCCCTCTTACAATGGGGAGTCCCCCATCCTCTCGTTTCACCGCTGCATGTGTGTGCGTGCTGCATTTTAACATTTTCTATTTTCAAAAAATATTCATACAGCTGGGGTTGAGATAATAGCACTAGGAGCCAAAGTAATTAGCTATTTTGCGGAGGAGCTTTCACTGTCGTTGCGAATAGAAAACAAACCCCACACAATTAGACATATTTATTTATCTACTGATTTCTAAGCCTATGTCTTTAAGCATAGGTTATAATAGTATTACATTTACGTATGTTGCTTGATCTTGTTTTCTTGGTGTCCATTTAAATGTGCTTGAAAATTTGAATAAATGTAACTACTACTACTTAACAATATAACTCCATTCTAACTATTTTTAAACATTTTAAAGAACTTTTTCCAAATCTTGTAAAAGTTAGAAATGCTAATATTTACAAGTTTCGTTATTTTTTTCAATAATACAAATACACATTTTAATCTATTGTCTACGCTTTTCTAACTATTATTTCAACTATGTGTATGTTTCTTTTTTGAGAGGGTGGCAGTGATAGTAGGCGGGACAGAGGTGGTGAGGCGACTTGTTGTGGCTGCTGCGTTGCGTTGCATACGCCATCCTGCTGACGTCTTTGGCTCAATATTTTCGCGTCTTTTGTTGTGACTTTGGCCTAGTTAGCATTTTATGCATTGCAATTTATTTTGTCAGTCGGCAGACCAGCATCAATAGTCAAAAGAAACGGCTTTCCCCCCGCCTCACAGACAAACCCCCAAAATAAAAAAACCTCGAAAAGCTTTTTAACCGTTTCACTCGACGCCCCTTGCATATCAATTTCGCCTTTTGGCCATTTGTGACTTCTTTTTAAGTTGAGCACTTTTTTATTATCTGGTGGTCTATGATTCATTCGCTGGGTCTTTCTTTCTATAAACTGGTTTTCCATTATTATTTTCGTCTGTCTTTTTGTCACGTTCTGTGAACAAAAAGTGAGATCTTCAAGGGGTCTGTTATTGTTATTGTCGGGTGTCGTTTTAGTTTTATTATTGTTATATTGCAGCTTGTTTTCACCTTGTTGAATGTATGAAATTTTGAAGCATTCGAATTTTTACAATACCTGTTGCTGAGGAAACAAAATCGAAGCTCACGTTTCTTCCTTCCTTTCCCGCAATCGTGACATATAATAAAACTCAATCGTTTATATATATCTTTTTTTTCGATTATAAGCTATGTGACATTGTCCCGTTATCTTGGCGGGGTGTGTTTACATAGTTGATAAACTCGAAAAGACCTTCCCTCCATATCATAACCAAGTTTGAGATACTTAAAACTAACTTTTATCGCTGCCCAAAAAGTTAAGCAAATTAACCTTCGTGCCAGTAATTGCAAATCAAGTTGGTTAAGCGTAGATCTCTGGGGGTTATTTGTATAATATATATTCCACACTCAAGGATCACTTTTGTGTGTTCGACTCCAAGTGCAACAGTTGGAATTAAGTTTTCCATTCTATTAATTTTTAATGCAAAACTTTCGTAATTATTTGCCCACAGAAAAGTGAACGGCGCAAACGTTTCGTAAGCCACATTTTGGTGGGTGGCTCAAGCTTTTGTTTTTGCTGAGATTTGTAATTGGCAACGGTTCTCCTTGTAGTTCACTCTAAACTCAGCAGAAAATCCAACAATAAACATTTATGTTGATAATCGGTTGTGTGACTAATTCCGGTGCCAAATTAAGATGAGTCAGGTATCTGCCAATAGACAAGTGCAAGAGCTGCCAAAAGTATGTTTATAAATCGCGCATTCACATGCCCAACGTAAATATTTATTGCTGTCATTTTTTTATATTGATTATAATGCGATTATGGGGTTTATTTTCAAGACGATTGCGCTGTGAACAGTTAACTGATATTTATTATTATAAAATTCACTTGAGGGAAGACGGAAATCCAATATCTGTCTTCTCCCATTTCTCTACGTGATTTCCACTTTTCATATGTCACGGGCAAGGTTGAAAGAATTCAAGAAAGAGACCTCGAACCAAGACCTTCCCGTTCATTTCTAGGGCTTGCCATCGAACACAAATACAAAAAATTAAGTGACATTCATCTAATGACGGATTTTTCTTTACCCTACTCTGGTTAACCAGGTTATGGACGCCGGGAAGTGGTCGAATTCCTGCTGAACAGCGGCGCCTCCATCCAGGCCTGCGACGAAGGCGGTCTGCATCCATTGCACAACTGCTGCTCCTTTGGCCACGCCGAGGTAGTGCGATTGCTGCTAAAAGCGGGCGCCAGCCCGAACACCACCGACAACTGGAACTACACTCCCTTGCACGAGGCAGCCAGTAAGGGCAAGGTGGACGTGTGCTTGGCCCTGTTACAGCATGGAGCAAACCACACGATCCGGAACTCGGAACAAAAGACACCACTAGAACTGGCGGATGACGCGACGCGTCCTGTTTTGACCGGCGAATATCGCAAGGATGAACTGCTTGAAGCCGCTCGATCGGGGGCAGAGGATCGTCTTCTGGCCCTGCTCACACCCCTCAATGTTAACTGTCATGCCAGCGATGGACGACGTTCCACACCGCTCCATCTCGCAGCCGGTTACAATAGGATAGGCATCGTGGAGATCCTGTTGGCCAACGGGGCGGATGTACATGCTAAGGACAAGGGCGGCTTGGTTCCGCTACACAATGCCTGCTCCTACGGACACTTTGATGTGACCAAACTGCTTATTCAAGCGGGCGCCAATGTGAACGCCAACGATCTGTGGGCTTTTACGCCGCTTCACGAGGCCGCCTCCAAGAGTCGCGTCGAGGTCTGTAGCCTGCTGCTCAGTCGCGGAGCGGATCCCACCCTCCTCAACTGCCACAGCAAGTCGGCCATCGATGCGGCGCCCACCAGGGAACTGAGAGAGCGGATAGCATGTGAGTAGTCATCTGTGAAAACATAAACTACTATGACAAAAATATCTTGTTTATCCTAATATGATTCATTTATTTTTACAGTCGAGTACAAGGGTCACTGCCTGCTGGACGCATGTCGAAAGTGCGATGTGTCCCGTGCCAAGAAGCTGGTATGCGCTGAGATTGTCAACTTTGTGCATCCCTACACAGGAGACACTCCGCTCCACTTGGCCGTTGTTTGTCCGGATGGGAAGCGCAAGCAGCTAATGGAACTGTTGACTAGAAAAGGATCGTTACTTAATGAGAAGAACAAGGCATTCCTCACGCCCCTTCATCTGGCCGCCGAGCTGCTCCACTACGATGCCATGGAGGTTCTGCTGAAGCAGGGCGCCAAGGTTAATGCATTGGATAGTCTGGGGCAAACGCCACTGCATCGATGTGCCCGTGATGAGCAGGCTGTTCGCCTGCTGCTCTCCTACGCCGCAGATACGAATATTGTTTCGCTTGAGGGACTTACAGCCGCGCAATTAGCATCGGACAATGTGCTAAAGCTGCTCAAGAATCCGCCGGACAGTGAGACCCATTTACTGGAGGCGGCCAAGGCGGGCGACTTGGATACTGTGCGTCGCATAGTGCTCAACAATCCGATCTCGGTCAACTGCCGGGACTTGGATGGACGACATTCCACACCTTTGCACTTTGCTGCTGGGTTCAATCGTGTGCCAGTGGTACAGTTTCTCTTGGAGCACGGTGCCGAAGTTTATGCGGCTGACAAGGGCGGACTGGTACCCCTGCACAATGCCTGTTCTTACGGACACTACGAAGTAACAGAACTGCTGGTAAAGCATGGAGCCAATGTAAATGTTTCGGATTTGTGGAAGTTTACACCTCTCCATGAAGCTGCCGCCAAGGGAAAATACGATATTTGCAAATTGCTCTTGAAGCATGGTGCTGATCCCATGAAGAAGAATCGCGATGGAGCCACGCCAGCAGATTTGGTTAAGGAATCCGATCACGACGTTGCTGAGCTGTTGAGAGGACCATCAGCCCTGTTGGATGCAGCAAAGAAAGGGAATTTGGCACGAGTTCAGCGATTGGTTACTGCAGAATCTATCAACTGCCGGGATGCGCAGGGCAGGAATTCCACACCACTTCATCTTGCCGCTGGATACAATAACTTTGAGTGTGCCGAGTATCTTCTAGAAAATGGGGCGGATGTTAATGCGCAAGATAAGGGCGGACTTATACCACTGCACAATGCCAGCAGCTATGGGCATTTGGATATTGCAGCGCTGCTGATCAAGCACAAGACGGTGGTCAATGCCACGGATAAATGGGGATTCACACCACTCCACGAAGCTGCACAGAAAGGACGGACTCAGCTGTGTTCGCTGTTATTGGCTCATGGCGCCGATGCGTACATGAAGAACCAGGAGGGACAAACTCCAATCGAACTGGCCACGGCGGATGATGTTAAGTGCTTGCTGCAGGATGCTATGGCCACCTCGTTAAGTCAACAAGCGTTGAGTGCTTCTACGCAATCACTGGCAAGTACTTCACCGGCGCCAGATGCAGCTGCTGCAGGAGCAGGCACGTCTTCGTCGTCCTCGTCCGCAATACTCTCGCCCACCACGGAAACGGTGTTGCTGCCCACCGGTGCCTCCATGATTCTCAGTGTTCCTGTACCACTTCCCCTGTCCAGTAGCACGCGCATCAGTCCCGCCCAAGGAGCCGAAGCCAATGGCGCTGAGGGCGGCTCCTCGGATGATCTGCTGCCGGACGCGGATACCATAACGAACGTATCCGGATTCCTAAGCAGTCAGCAGCTGCATCATCTAATCGAACTGTTCGAACGAGAGCAAATCACCTTAGACATTCTAGCCGAGATGGGACACGACGATCTCAAGCAGGTGGGCGTATCGGCCTACGGCTTCCGACATAAGATACTCAAGGGAATCGCCCAGCTGAGGTCCACCACAGGTGAATATTTAAGATTTATATGTTTGTTGTAATCGTTTACCACTTAAATTATTTAATCTTTCAGGCATTGGTAACAACGTGAATCTGTGCACTTTGCTGGTGGATCTGCTGCCGGATGACAAGGAGTTTGTGGCCGTCGAGGAAGAGATGCAGGCTACGATACGCGAACATCGGGATAATGGTCAGGCTGGAGGTTATTTTACTCGCTACAATATCATTCGGGTGAGTATTTATATAAAGTTAATCTAGATAATCCCATCTAAATCTATTATTATTACAAAAACAGGTGCAAAAAGTACAGAACCGAAAGCTGTGGGAGCGGTATGCACATCGGCGACAGGAGATTGCCGAAGAGAATTTCCTTCAGTCCAACGAGCGAATGCTCTTTCACGGAAGTCCCTTTATCAACGCGATCGTACAGCGCGGATTCGATGAGCGTCACGCCTATATTGGTGGCATGTTCGGGGCTGGCATTTATTTCGCCGAGCACAGCTCGAAGAGCAACCAGTATGTCTATGGAATTGGCGGCGGCATTGGGTGTCCCTCGCACAAGGACAAGTCATGCTACGTGTGTCCCAGGTAAGTTTAAATTGATTAAACTAAAATGAAAAACATTTAAAGAGTGCTAATAATTTTATTTCTAAAATTTCAGACAATTGTTGCTGTGCCGAGTTGCCTTGGGTAAATCCTTCTTACAGTATAGCGCCATGAAAATGGCTCACGCACCTCCAGGACATCACTCTGTGGTGGGAAGACCCTCAGCGGGTGGCCTGCATTTCGCCGAATACGTTGTCTATCGGGGTGAACAGGTGGGTATTTGCTAAGAGAGTATATATAGCGGCGTTTCATAAAAACTTTGGCCCTTTCAGTCTTATCCGGAGTACTTGATAACCTACCAAATCGTAAAGCCCGATGACAATAGTAGCGGGACGGAGGATACAAGATGATGGATGCCCTCTGTCGGGTCCACGCCCACAACCACATCGCCAGCGCTGCACCAGTCGCAATCACAGTATCACTCTCATCAGCAGCCGCAGCAGCAGCAGCAGCAGCAACCACAACCACAACAACAGCAGAAGCCACCGCTGCCGTTGCCACCGCCACAACAGCAGACCTCAGCTCCAGTTGCCAAGAGGCGGCCCAAGCATGCCAAACCGTCGCTGCAGTTGCAGTATCAACACTATCAGCCCCAGCACCACTCGGTGGTTGCCTCTGCGACTGCAGTAACCACCACCCAACCAGCGCCCGCTGGCGTCTTCGCACATAGCAATAATAACAACAATACAAGCAGCGGAAATGTGAATAATAACAACAATGACATGTCGCCGGTATCAAATAGCAATAGCTATTCCTCGGTGGACACCAACCAGACGCTGCTCAATTCGCTAGCCAACCAGCAGCGCAACCATCGACAACAGCAGCAACATAATCATCATCATCAGCAGCAGGCGAATCGCAGCCAAAAGTATAGTCAATTTATGATCATAACACCCGCCGTTTCCATAGACCGTGACTTTGAGTACGAGTCGCACTTGGACTTTGAGGATTTCGCCAATGCGGCCCACAACAATGGGAATCTCTTCCGGTTGGGATTGCGGCGAAGCGATAGCAGCAGCGATGACAGTGGCCACAGCAGCGACAGCAGCAGTTTTCGCTCAAATTACAATCCGTACTTGCACCACAGTCGCCAGCATTTACTGTCCAAAAATGGAAATGGTGGTGGCGGTGCAGGTCGTCACTTTTACGCCTTCACCTCGTCGTGGCGATGGTGCAGTCTTCTGTGCGCCGCCATGCGCTGCTTTGGTGCCGGTGGGGCTGGTCACGGGAATGCTCCGTACAGTAGTTCGCTGCAACATCACCGACTAAGACGTTGTTCGTCGTATAATGCAGAGAATGCCTACGAGCATTTTGCGGCCCCCTTCAAGGCGCGAAAGTCGCGCGATCACATGAACAACATCACCTACGAGTTGTGACTGTGACGGTGGTACGACATGCTGGTGGTTATTGATCTCTTTGACTCCGTTGGCCTCCCGTCTATTTTATTACAATTACTAGCTATAGATGTCGTGTCCTGTGTGTCTCTCTCTCTCTCTCGTTGTTTATTATATTACTCTATAATATATCACGTAAGGGCGAGCTAGCGAGATTGGTTCGGAACGGATCAGATCGGATTGAATTGGATTGGATTTGGGTTAATCAAAAGTGGAACACAGTTTTTGAGTGATTTTAATTCGAAATACGGAAAATGCGATTATACGAGGTTACAAGTTCTTTATCGATGAATGCATTACATTACATTACGCTCGCGCGTTTATTTAAGTGTTTAAGCTTAGTTAATTTAAACAATAATTAAAACTCCAATTAAATTTAAATATACAAATACATATACATCAAATGGAATGGAAAATGTTTATTCATTAGTATTTTACTATATGGTAAGTAATTCTTAAGAACTAAAATTGGAATAAACGTTTCTCCCATTAATATTTTTATTAGAACAGATCCGAAGGTCAGTGCTTTGATATTTTTATTGGCACAAATATTTTTGTACATTTTTTTAAATAAAATGTAAGAATAGAGGCTACCAGCAGATAATGATGCTACCAATACATGCAAGCCTGTACAGTTTCAGGAGGCAATCAACGAAGATCAAGGGTCAAAAACTATATGCGGTGATCTATTTATAGTTCAACCATATGGGAAATACTCCTGGTCGTTGTATTAATATATACATATGTATGTAAACAGATGCATGTTTATTAAATTTAAACTAATCAATCAGCTTTGTCATTGGATTTTTAGCTCAGTAATATTTGATACGAAAAATTAATTTAAATTCTAAAGATTGCCTGAGAAAATGAACTTTAATCCGGTATACTATTTGTTTCTACGTCTATGATCTATTTATATTTTTGTTTTTATTTTTCCTATCGAAAATACATATAAAAGTGTGTTAATATTTTTTTACCTTTAACTGTGATATTATATTGGTATAATTACGTTTTTATTATCTCCTGAAAGTATATAGTTAATAATTGGTCATATTTAATGGTAATCTTTCTATTAATTTTCTTTAAATATCCATTTTTTTTGCCTTCCGACCGGGTAACTGTTAGCCTAATAGCCAGTAATGAAAGCTCCCTCCTAACGATTATTGCGTGCGTAGCAGTTAGCTTTTAACCGTCAGCCGTTGTGCTTGCAATTTGCAACTGTCAAGTCTCCCGACACGTTAAGCTGCGCCTAAAAATTCAAAATGAGTAATGATAATGAACGCCAAAGTACGCAAATATCTCTCCTTTTCCCCTTGCAACAACAACTACGAATAAAAAAGAAACACACGCAGGCACATTTCACTGTCAAAACTGCGGCTATAAACCATTTCGGAGTCGCCAGGAGCTGCTGTCGTTGCATTTATTTTTATTTCTGTTGCCACTTATGTTGGCCCGCATTTTGGCCATTTCTCAAGTCTTTCTTCAAGCTCGAGTGCGTCTCTTTTTTTGGGCCTTAGTTTTTTGGCATTTCCTTTTTTTCGGCAACATATGCAAGTAATTTGATTAAATTATATAATTACAGGGCCAGACAGTCGAGATGGCAAGATGAGAAGACGGTGCTGACTTTGACGAACAGCAGCACGCAAAATGCCGCACCACCGAGCCACATTATGGCCATGGTTATGGTTTCTGGTGTTGCGGTTAGCATTAAGTTAACGTTAACTTGCTTGAGAGCACGGAAAAAAATGATAGCGTTTCGGTTACAAAAGGACCACAGACATTACAGCAATAATCATAAGAAACAATCCATTTATAATAAAGATATTTCGTAAACTTTATCTAATATTTCATATATTTAAAACAATATATTTTTTATTATAAATAAGATAATGTTTCTTAGTTGTAACTTAAGTTATAATAATCTATGTATAACATTTTCAAAATTAATTATATTTTTTAATCTTTCAAAGTATTTAAAATTTCTTTTAAAATGCTTTTGCTTCCTTTCAATTCAGTTTAGAAAAGGGTTATAAGTTTTAAATATTGCTGAGAAAAATAAAACTATTTTCCATATTTAAAAGTATAATTTAATATATACTATTTCTAGGTTAGTCTTAACTAATAACAACATTTTTGGCCGTGTAGATCGTTGACTGCGACACTCACTGCAGGCCGGGACTAGTGCAATTTGTATTTCCAAACAGCAACAAATAAGCACTGGGCACGGCCTACATCAGGTGACGTTTTAATGTACCACTGCACTCTCATCTCGGATGCACTTCACTCCACTCACCTTTTGGGATCCGTGGGCCTTAGCGATATCAATAAGCCATGTCAGTCGGCTGGGGAGAGGAGTCAGCCATGGTATGTCCGAATGCCACATAAACACTGTAATTACACGCACACACTCACTCCCAATTGCGAGGAGCTGTAATTTAATTAAGAAATATAGACGCATTATTAAGAAAAAAAAAAAGGGGAAGAAAACCTGCGGGAAACGCACATAGAAATCTAGCCTGGAGGCCCCACCCAGATTGGTCAAATGGAGATGTGCCTACTCAGACTTCATTTGGTAATGGGCTTGCTGCAATTCCGACTGCCGGTTCCAGTTCTCCCGGCACACATTTCTTTCATTATCCCGGGCATGTGAATGCGTTGAACGTCCCACATCATCGATCAGCATCCTACTCGGAAACACCTCCTATGATTTTGAGTGGCATTAGCTTAAGCATAAAGCATAAATTCTCTAGGTGGTGGAAATTTTATTGGGATGCCAAGCAATTCATTCCAATCTTCATAGCCTCCAGCTCGACTGGTTTGCCTCAGAGGAATTAGCTCCTTGGGTGGACAATAATTAAAGTTTAGCTTGGAGAAACAGCTTCAAGGGCCACGAATGGGAGCTTTTGGAAGCTTTAAGGGTGGTTCTCGCATACAGAAAGTAATAAAACTTAAGGACCTTTTTATGGCTGCTTTTTCGGTCTGCCAAGCAAAAAGTAATTATGTACATATACATACATATAATAATGTAATGCAGGGGTTATCCTTATGTACTTCCAAGTAAGGCCAGCAAATATACTGTCCTGTGAGATCTCTAAGGGGAGATGAATACGTTTACTTGAAGAGCTTCATACCCTTAAAAGCATTCTAAGAAGTCTTTAAAAATTATATTTTAGCCTCATAACCATTGGGCACATTTTATAAAACCAAATTTTGGTAAAACGCCTTAATGAAACTATCAAATATAATACTGTTTAAAATATGTATGGTCCTTTATATAGGATTTATAGGATTCTATACCATTACAGATGTGCATCTTACATATAGAGTGTAATGCTTTTTTGCCGAATCTGAAATTTGATCAATTTGGATTAGTCGACCCGTTCCCCTGCCTTTAAAACAAAGCAAATAAGTGTATTTTTTCCATTATGTTAATTAAATGAAATGCTTGGATCTTCCACCTCCGTTACTGCGAGGCTAGAAGACTCAAAAGAGTATAATTAAATCATATATGGAGTAATCTTTTTTGTCATTAATGCGGCTATTATGCTATATGCATATATGTAGACACGCGTGCCAATGTCCCTACCCGTAATTAAAAGTGCAACTTAATATCTATTCGTCCTCCTCCTGCGACTCGCTGCTCTGGTCGGCCTGATCTGACTTCCGTTTGCTGCCGCTGCCCTCGTTGCGTATGGAGCTTTGGACCAGTTCGCGGGTAAACTTCTGGACCAGACGCAAGGCGGTGGGCGCCGGCATATCGCACAGTGAGTGGCACATAAACTCGCCAAATCCTCGGAACTTGGCATATGCCGGCGGTAAAGGGGCTAAAGGTTGTGCGGGATAGAAACCGGAAATCGAAAGACCTTCATCTATCCGCCGCTTCGACGGATGATCCTCCACAGGCTGTGCTCCACGCTTATTGCTTTTGGGATTGTTAATCATCGGACTTCCGATAATGTATTCTGGCTGATTTTGATGTCGTCGATGATAGCTTTCCGCATAGTGATTGTAGCCCTTGCCATTGGCCATTTCGCCGTTCATAGAACGTTGGCTTTTGTTTACTTCGTCAGAGTTAGGAACCCTAAAAAAGAAATCAATTCTCGTCATTAAAAGGCGAGGTATAACAGTAGTTGGTTATGGACTCACCCCAGGACAGTGGTAACTGGCAGTGCCTGTTCGCAATCGAAGATTTCGCAGTCATCGTCCAGTTCGTCCTTGACGCTAGCCATATGCCCGTTACTGTCACTCTGGCAATCGTCCACCTCGTAGTGCTCCTCATCTTCCTCCTTCATACTCATGTTTTTAAAGCTGCGCCTGGGCCGAATGTGATCCCCCAAAAACTGAAGGCTTTCAAACAGCGGCCATTGTGATGCTTGTGTCGATAGACCATTTTCGACGCGTCGCTTCTCTATATTATAGCGGTTCCTTAAAGTGGTCATCCGTTCCCGTAAACTTGTGGCTAATTATAAAAGATGGGAAAGTACCAGCATTAGTCTCGGTTAGATAAAACTGGATTACTCCCGCATCCTCACCATCGTAGCCTAGTTTGTGGGATATCTGATCCCATATTTGGGCCACATACAGCTTATCCTTAAACCGCTTGTTGGTCCTATCGTAGAGCACTGGATGTGATCGGTATTCCCGGATCAGACCCAAATCGAATTCGCCCGTTTGTGCGTATGTGGCCCGAGGCCGGCCACGCCCTTTTGGCAGCTGCGGAGGATATAAGTGCGACAGGTGCTCCATTCCTCCTTCAGATTCACCTTTAACCCTGTTTTGTATTAAAGCACAAATTGATCGTTTTTTTGGCATTATTATTTTTTTCAAAGATTTGTTAAGTTTTATTTTTAATGTAAAAAACTGCTATTGATTATTTCCAGGCTTACTGACTTTAAAAAAAAAATAATAAGTTAAGTAAAGAATAAATTTCGGTCACACTCATTACACATTATTAAATATATTTATTATCTCCTTATTTCGTATTTTAGAGTTGCATATATTAATTTGGGAAATACACGAACTTTAGAGCTGATATGGTCTTTCGGTATTATAAAAAAAAATTTCAGATATCGACCGTCCTTTAGGATTTCCTTTCCTCTGCTTCTTTTAAAACAAAGCCAACATAAGATAATTTATGTTGCTTAAATGATCAACGAATGTGAACAAAAAGAACACAGAAAAGAAGGGATCATTTTGAGGATATACATACATACATAGTTACCGGTTTTTCCACATAAGGGAGCATAAACAATTAGAAACAAAGTTTGGTAGAGAAGTTTATAAAAAGAAGAAGCATCGACGGCTAAAAACCATGGTGATTCCAAGGCTATATGTGGTTTTTATGCTGCTTCGATCATTTCCGGAATAATTACTTCGGTAAAACGATATCAGGTAGATGTCCTTTCAAGGATATACACACGCAGTTACCGGTTTTTCAACCAACAAACAAAAAGGTGTCTACAATGTTGCAAGAGACATAATAGCGTTTGGACTTCGACCCGTCAAACAAATGCTCATTATAGGATATAAGTAACACAATCTGGATGATAATAGTTAAAACTAACGATAACGTCCCGATAAATCAATGCTTGCCATCCCTAATCTGCATCCGCTTCCATGACATGTATATGCTTTTTACACAGTCGCAGACGTTTACATGTATATATACGCGTGCGTAGGTGTGTACATAAAAACAAAACTGCATCTTCAGCGCGCGCTCTTTCTCTTTCGCTCTTTTTTGGTGCTAAGCGAACGACGCGCACTGTCGGCGTCGACGGCAGCAGCGCAATAAAAACAAAGCCGAATACCGTAAAAATATCAAACTACCTAAAAAAAAAGAAAACAAAAAAGTACAGAAACGCGCTCGCAACTGCTTGATATTAATTTTAAGCGACGCCAGCTGCGCTGCTCTGTGCTCCTCTGCCCTGCTCACACAGATAAACATAAAAAGTCGCTTCATAAACTTTAAATAAACAATTGCAGACCACTACTAATTTACGGTGTGCAAACGAAATAAATAAAAAAAAAACAAACGGAACAAATAAAAAAAGAAAGCAAGCAAGTTAACAAAGATATATATTATTTTTAGCAGCATAGCAGTATATCCACGAATTATAAAATTTCTTAATTTATTTTTATAGATTTACTCACCTCGAAATTTTTAGATTCGCCTCAGGTTTTTAGTGTGTATTTTTATTTTTATATCTATTAAAACGCGCGCTCTTCGCTCCGCCTTGCTCTTGGGCTTGCCTTTACTTTCTAGCTAACTTGCTATTATGGCTAACTGTGGCTGTGGCTGTTACTTTAAAAAATCAATATAGACGTAAATAAATTAATTAAGATTGCCTGCGCAACACACGACGCTCAGTTTTTCAGTTCCGACGGCGATGTTCGCCGCTCTCTTTCCGCTCGCGATGCTCTGTCTTTTTCGCCTGCACGCACAACTAGTCGCTTTGAGAATATTTTTTAAAATGAAACTGAAAAAATTTTTTATTTTTATATTTTACGAATTACGGACGAGGCAAGCCGCAAGAGAGCGGCACTCACACTAACACCAACTCACATACACAAACGCACAAACATAGATACCAAGAGACACACACAGACGCACACGCGCGCACCAACCCTCTCGCTCACACAGGCTCCGAACCCCATGTAGTAGAGATGCGAGCGTGAGCGGTTTCTTCCGCGCGTGACTGTTGTCTTGGAACATTTAAGAAATAGATACACAAAACTCGTCTTTCTGCTACACTTTGTACTTAATTTTTAGCCTAATGTCTTTCTTTTTCGATAGGTTTCAGTTTACATTATATAACACTGTTGTGACACTATTTATGTATGGTACAAACAGACACGTGCACATCTTTAATAGACAGATAACCAAGTGGCAGCGCTTTCAATTTAAAAACAAGTGGCAGCACTGAGGCGGACATTTTCATAACGGAAAAGGGATGAAAAGTACCCAAAAGCGCGCGGTTTGGGAAATTTTTTAAATATGAATTATGTACAATAAAATGAGGAGTGGACGAATATGAAGTGTGTATTTAAATAAACGAATAAACAGTTTTTTACATTAAAGATTGTTTTAATATTACGTAAACTCACCTGTATATGTATTTGTTTTTCATTTCATTAATAAGCTATGCAACTTACATAAACTAGGTAAGTTACGAGGTCTGTTCAAATAATTTTCAAAGGAATTTAGTTAAGTTTTATCAAAGAATAACTTTTAGAATATTTATTTTTGGTTTATGTTTTTCGATAGCAAAAACTTTTACGCGTCTCACAACCTAAAAGAGTGGCTATACACTTAAACTTGATACAGACATTTGGTGAAAGTTTACCAAAGTAACAAAACATAAAAAGCGCAAATTGCAAATTAAAAATACACTTCTGAGTTGAATACCTCGTAATGAACAGACCTGTGTTGCGAAATTGAGATCTGAAAAGATAAAAAAGGTATTATTAGTAAAAAGTCAAGTGATTGTTAACCTAATAATAGTTAATATAAACACAATTTAAATTTAAAAGAAAGATCTTACAAGAATGTTGAACTTATTTTTAAGCATTTTATAGCAACCAATTTTTGATCGTGGTAACTTTACAAAATTCATAGCAACAATCTTTCGCTCATGGCAATTCAAATTTAATTCGTTTTGGTTTTATTTTGGACAATAGTTTTAGATAATAAATTCCCTATATAGATATATTTACGGCGATTATTACAAATCGCCCATAGGCCGGGACAAGTGCAATGTTTATTAAAAATGCAAAACGTTGACACCTTCCCGTCCTACGGGAAATTCATATTCATATTCGGCTGAAAACTCCTCCAACTCATCAAGATCAAGAATATAATGTTTCAGCAAGTACAGTGAACATCTTGATAAAAATGTATACCAAAAAAAAAAGAAAATAATGCCAACAACAGGTAGGCAGGTAGACAAACAATGGGAGCACTGATCAAAGCCTAAAAATCTCATATTTCAAAAACAGAGAACAAAAAACAAGTAAGCAGAAAATTCATATTAAATTTCCGCCCCTACTTGAGTGTCCTTTGTGCGGGTTTTAAAATCTGCCCAACAATAGTCCTGGAGGAGTGGGAGTTTCGGATCGCATAGGAGGATCAAGAAGGGGAGAGGGAGAGCAGGTAAAACTAAACCCGGGCAAAATCAAGCGTTAAATGCCTTTTACTTACGCCTCACATCATTTCGCAAGAGGAAGCTCGTATGTATGGCTTGAAAGTATGCTGCGGGGTCCATTAACAGTTGGCTAACATCAACAAAATTTGAAATCCAAAGCGTGACAAATTCGTAGAAACCAGAACCGTTTGGAGGCGGAGGAAAAAAAGAACAACAAAGCTGCTCAGCGGAAGAATTGCCAGGGCAGCAGAATCATCCGCGTTACCCCCCTTTTTCCGGACATTTCCACAGATTTTTTACTTCTTCTTCTAAGTGTATCAGAACCTCCTCAGCGAAATTCGCTTATCTGCTCCAAATGAAAACCGACATATAATAATACTAATAATATTGTTTTGAAGGGGAGCATAGAAGCAAAGCTTTGCTCGGTATTTGTTTATTTGATCGCCGCTGTGGGGCTTTTCGTGGCCCAAGACGGCATTAGGTTTTTTTTTTCTAAATATTGTTCCCTGCGACACACAAAAAATAAAGCAAAAAAAAAAAAAAAAAAAAAAGATTCCAGCAATGAACAAACGCTGCAATAAATTCATATTTATTTATTTTTGTTAGGCAAATACGCCCCCAACGGCACGAAGACTCTCTTCTGACTTCGGGGTCTTCAACGTTTCGTTCTCCTTCTCCTTGTCCATTGAGCAAATGAAAGGAGAGGCCCTGAAGAGACGACCCCAAGTCCGAGTCTTGGAGATCGGGAAGCGGAAACGCAAATAGACGCACGATAAAAAAATGAACAGAAAAAACAAGAGGCAAGAAACAGCACGGCACATAAATTTGAAATAACTAATAATTCATTGAAAAAGCAGCCAGGGAACGGGGGAGCAAAACTGGAGTGCTACAACGGGGATAGGGATCGGTGGGGATAGAATGGTGGTGGTGCACAATATCATGTAATAATATTTGCTCAGGCCAACAGCTGACAAGTCAGCAATAACACACTTCTCCCGATATCGCGATCGAAAAGCCCCACAGGAATCGAAGGCGCGCAAGTTTGGAAAGAGGAGTTCTTTCGATTTCGTAGCGATATCAATATATGTGGGGGGTTGGCTCTTGGCACGAATAGTTAATAGCCAGTTTGGTTAGATCTCCGGAAAAGGTAGATTAATTGCTTTAATTGAAGATGGAATAAAATATATCCAATTTTGTTGGTCATTTCTATATTAGATTTGTTAATATATCCCTCAATACTTTTAATTCCGCCTACTTTATTACTTTTTATTACTGTCACTTAATAATTATTTCTTTCCTTTTTCTATCATTTATTTCAAATACCCATTTATCTTCCTTTAGAGTTTCTCTTTTGCTCATCAGCCTTAAAATATGTGCTCATTAAGGGCATTTACAGTTCGGTTAGCTGGCCTTTCTCCTCCACATTTATGATGGCCATTTCTCCTCCACTGCGAAAAGATCTGCCAACTTTTTTTTTCGTTGCCCGTTGTTTTGTGTTCTAGTTTGAGTAGAATCATTTTTAATGACTCGAGAGGCAGCAGCAACAGGCAGCAGGAGCTGCTAACCAAAGAAAGCATCGAAGGCTTCGATGGCCATGGCAATGGTAGCCACAGCCAGGGATAAGTGAACGGGAATGGTCATGGATGGCCATGACTTCCAGCCAAAAACCGTTTGCATTTCCCATTGTTGATGTACTTGTTGCTTCTTTCGAGAGAAAGACATACAGTGGAACTTGTTTTAATAAAACCTCTATGTGAATTGTAATTTTTTTAAGTAACCCACACCACTTTGCATTATTTTACGAGTTCTTTAAATCTCTGAAGATTAAAAATAAAGTTGCAATCATTTTAATTATTATGATCTAATGCGGTTTATTGCTACCATAAAAACGAGACTAATGAAAAAATAAATTAATCCAACTAACGGTTCATAGTTTAACAGCAAATAAAGATTATTGCAGGAAATGGAAAAAAAAAACAGGTAATAAGTTAACAAATTCCAGGAGCTTTTAAATATTTTATATTGCTTGGGTGAATTTAGTTGGCTCTAAATTAGCTTTAAGTTCTCACTATAGAATTTCCACTGTACTTCGATCGAGGGCCGCGAATAAAAATAACTGTATTAAATGGGCCCAGGACCAGTATGAAAAGGTCTGCCGCCTGAGAACCGAACCTCCGCTCTTGGCTGTTACAATTTCTAGGCTCAAGCTGGGGACCCAGCTCTTGGGTCGCCAGACTTGGCCATCGTTTTGGCCATGGTCGGTGGAACCTGTTTACGAGGGTTCGGGGGAGGGGAGACCCAGCACATCGCACATAAAAGGCGTTCCAGAGATGCGGACTGGGCCGTGCCTGGCTGTCTCATCTGTTGTCTATTTGGCAGGCTCAGGCTCGGGCTCCAGCTTCTTAAGATTGCTGCGGGCCTGTTCGCAAGTGCAACATGTTGCCAGCAACATTTGTTGCCTCGCCAAACACTCGAAGATTTGATTTGCTCTTGCTTCCATTTCCTCTAGTTTTGCAAAGTTATTTTACTTCTTTTTTTTTTTTTTGGTTGGTTTGTTTTGCAGCAGCGTAATCGAAATGCAATTAAGATGCGGCTGTAGAGTGCTGGAGAATTTTTGACTCGCACTCAGTAAAGGAGCGAGAACGTGGCTGCAATTTATATTCCCGGACAGATTTTTAGAAAGTAGCAGAGGAGTTATATTCTGGTCCAGACCCAAGACCAAGACCAAACCCAGAGTGCCATTCGAAAGGCGTTGACGTCGAGAGGTGAGCCCCGATCCCGAAACGCGGCTTAGAAACGATCTTAGTGGTGGATTGTAGACTCACTGGTACTCGTATGTGGCATAATTAAAGGGTTACGCCACGGCCACGCCAATCTCCATTCGATATGTGGCGATCTCTTGGCGTCCCCAGCTTTCTTCCCTCCTCTCATCTGTTCAGTTCTGTACTGTTCTGTAGAATTGTGTGGCTGATATGCATAACGGTGGTTTAATATGAGTTGGCGAACAAAGAGCAACTGCACCACAAGTGGGCATGTCTCCGGTGATCCGCCAACCCCTTTTCGAAGCGATCTCTGCACTGGCAAAAAGTCTATTTTAAATTGGAAATCATATCTCTTCAAACTGTGAAGGAATCAGGGGTCACCTTAAGGACAGTTGCAGAAAGTTTGCATTTAAAATTAAAAATTTTGCCTGAATTTTGAAGACAATAACACGGTTGGAAAGAATTTCTTTTTAATTAAATGGCTGTGCAGTTTCAAAGAACTTAACTAATTGATTTGGCGAGGTCATTTCACAAGAAGCAACCCATTAGTTGTAAATAATTTTATAACTTTTCCCTCAATGTAAGAAGCTTCTCTTGTAAGTTGAAGCACACTCATTTGGTTGATATCGTTATGGCATAATATGGGCCACTCTCCCTGGACGTGGTGCAGTCATCAGTCCAAATGGTCGGCCATCAGCGCATCGTTTATTGGGGTTCGCTCGGCGAGTTCTCCAATTGATTGCCCACATCTGTTCTGGCTCAGCTACGAAAGGAATCTTCCCCAGACGCGCGAGGATGATCAGAAATTATTGTTCATTTCAATCGGGTTTTGAGTGTTGGGAAAACTCGGTTCCAACCACTAGTCTTTAAAAAAAAAGCAACTCAAATAACCATGCTCAACTGGGTTTTGACTTGATTCCATTACGTGGCATTGCAAAATAAAAATTAACTCATTTAATTTGCAACAGGTGCAGAATTGTTAACAAATCTTAAAAGCAATCCATCTATATTTATGATAATTTCGTGGGATATCTGGTTTCTTTAAAATATGTGACGTAATCTCATCTAATCCCTTGTGGTTTTTTCTTTCTAAGAATTTGATAATATTCTCAATTCTTTACTTCATTCATTTTTATATCAAAAGATTTAATTATTTTTTAAAATGTTTCGAATTTGACACAATTAAAACACAGCTTCCATTGGGGAATTGCCTTGAGGGAAATGGGAATTAACTGGAAACTGCTATTTAAAAATCGAAAATAAAGTTGCTGTTTCACTATATATTATTTGGTAAAAAAAGAAATCACAAAACGGTTACTTTTTACATCTTAGAGGAATGTTACAATCTAGCTATAAATTGATAATGATTTACACGTCGTATAGTGCAACATCGTGGCATGGTATCTGCCCACAAAAGTTTCTCATTATTTCCCAAATGTGTAAGCAAATGTTATTATCCGCTAATTGCCAAATAGTTTGGCGTATCTCGTTAGCAATGGCAGGCAGATTGGAGGCTGTAGACTGAAGACAGAAGATTCTGCCTGGAACAGGCACCAACGGCTCAATTACTCCGCGGCTTTAGTGGCTCACAATCTACGAAAGCTGAAGAAATCGGGCTTGTTGCCAAGGAGTCGGTCGGTCTAATAGCTAATGATCGGCAACAAATATGCGCCATCTTAATCCCCCGTCGTACCCTGATCATCAGCATCTTAAAAAGTGAACGAAATCTCGAAGACTAAAGTTCTCACACAAATTAAAATTTCTGTTCTCTTTTTTTTTTTGGGAGTTTCTACGCAAATGTTTAGGCTCTGTGGGTATGGGTATGGATATGGGATGTTCCAAATGGAATCTCTTTGAGAAGAATTTAAGCCTCGAATTTCGCAGAGGAGAAACCGAGCTAAGCAAATTTTAAGCTTGTGCTTCATAGTTATATGGGGCATTGTCTATATATGTATGTGTGTGTGTGTCCATGGAGACTGTGTTAGGTATTCGATAGCGCCAATTTGATATGGCGGCCAGGAGCACAAATTAAGTTTCCCAGAAACGAAGAAGAATACTACCTGAACTGAGTAGGATCCCCATTCCCCCAGTGCTAGTGCCAGCTATCTTCCTTGGCTGCGAGTTTTATGTCTGCTCAGATCGTAAAGCAGTTAGCGACGCTATAAGGAAGAGAATCTCTCAAAAAAGAAAGTTGGCAACAACGCAAATAAACTATGTAAAATGCCTTCAATGGAGAAAGATCCCAAATGTCTAAAACGAATAAGATGTTGCAACAGGAACTTAATTTTGCTCAGCGGTATTTTTTTTTAATGCCCCTCCAAGATAGTTAAAGGTGGAAATTAATGAGTAGTAAAAGCGAAACGAACGAGAGAAGTCGCCAGCCAAAAGAGAGCCGCTCAGAAAGGCCACAAACGCGAAATCAATATCCAATCATTAATCGTTAACTAATTCCATGAATTCTGCCGGACTTTGGGATCCCGGGATCCCGGCTTTTTGGTCAAGTCCGTCCCGTTCCCGTTCCCGTCCCGTTTGTCTTCAATCGGTCTGCCTTTTGCCCCATTTACCAAGTTCCAAAAACGCAACCAGACATGCCACACTAAAGACATATATTTATGCCCCGAAAGCAACTTTTGGCGTATTTAGAACAGCAACAACAACAAACAGCAGCGAAAAAAAAACAGAAATATCAAGATAAAAATATTTTTCGGGCCCTTTGTGGCTCTTGGCATGGGACAGTGGCTGCACTGGAATAAATAAATGTTAAGTTTTATGGAGGAATAGTATTTCTTATATTATGAGAATATATTATAAGATGAGTAATAAGATCTCCCCTTTGTAGTTATCCTAAAGATTATTGCCATTTTAAGGATTATTAAAAAAATTATTTGCAGTGCATTAGTCCGCCTAAACCAAGTATTTACTGATTGCTGCTTTGTTGTTGTTATCGTCGTGGCGCGTCTCAAGTCTGGAGTCGTCTCTTTGGGCCCTCTTCAGGGATCTTCTTCTGGGATCTGGGATTTCCTCCCTCCCCACACACACGCGTTTTGAATTCGATTTGCCGATTGCCGTTTGCTTCTTGGCGAGATTTCGATTTCGTCGGCAACAGCAACACAACCAACAACAACAACCATCGAGACCATGAAACAATTTTATATTTTTGTGCAGAAAAAACGAAGATCAATAAAATTTTACCGACAACTGAATTTGGTTCAGACGATCGAATATAGGGCCCTAAAATTAGTGACCGAAATTGTCCAGAGAGGGGGAGCCTATCGGACGGTTTCGGGTCACATTTTTGGTTACAGTAATCAGTCCAGCATCCAACGAAAAAAAAATAATAACGAAAAATTGGAAACAAAGCAGCTGGAAAAAATTTGAACTTCATTTTAAGTGTGTTTTTCGGTTTCGTAGAATCCGAAAGTGCTACAAAAAAAGATGTGTTGGACTTATTATGGGGAAAGGGAGGCTGCATGCTGCGTATTGAGGTTATGTTGATTCTATGGGATATTAACGAGACATAAATCAGATTGTGACACTTTGATATGGGATACGATAAATGCTTACATGGTTGAAAAAATAGTTTTAATTGAGGAGGAAACTGGAGGGGGAAAAATGGAAATGCAGTATTAAAAGCTTTCGGAACAAGTAATGTAATCTCTCTGAATAAGATATTTCTTGATTGTGGATGTATTTTCTATTCTTCCGTAACTTTTTTTTACAATTAACTTTTCTATTCTCGAACAGAAAGTTGAAAAGGTCTGGTTTTACCTATCAACTGTGAACCGAAAAACACACAAAAAGAAAGTTGCCCAAAGGCTTGGGCCATAATTCTGCAGAAAAGCGAAGAACAAGGAGGTTTTGAAGAATGAGGGACTACGAAGTGAGGGCGCCGTGTGAGTTCCTGCAGAATCCGCTGCAAGAAAGGTGCTCCAACGAAAACAACAACAACAGCACGACTGGTGATTCCCAGAAATGAGAGTGTGTGGGAGGAGAAGGTGGAGAAGGAGAATTCTTCCATAGGAGCAAGAAGAGCAAGGGGGAATGTGGGGGCCGTCACTAATGAATTTGTATGCAGAGACCGCAATGATTTGGCACAAAAACAAAAGCAACAGTAACGGAAATGCGAAGAGCGAGGATTTAAAAAAAACGCGGGTCCAACGAACAACAACATTATGCGAAATTAGTGCAGACAGCCGAAAAACGCACCTTTTATGTTTTGTAGCCTCTCCACATTTTACGATTGCTGTTGTTGGTTCGTTTTGTGCGATTTTTGATTTATGCAAAAGCAATAAAAATTATTATAATGAAGGCGCTGACATGGCTGATGGCCAGGGCAAGAAGCGTACACAGAGAGAAAAGTATATGCTATGTTGATGGGTGATCAAAATTACCAGAATATTTGTAAGGCTAATAGAGGATATTGAATGTAATTTTATAGTAATTAAAACTCAGATATAAAATTAACTTCAAAATATAAATCTCTAAAATAATACTGCACTAAAAACATATTTGATATTTGCTTAATTTTATAAGATCTTTACTTTTCCACTGTGTAAGCGAAGAACAGAGCTGGCGACACGTGATGATGGTGGTGACAAGGAGGAGCAGGAGGATAAGGAGAAGAACTGAGGGCGATGACGATGCTGATGTTCCTTGTCCGTTACTTTAACATCACTCGCTCTTTCTCGCAAAAAAAGAAGGAAAAAGCGCGGAGAAGAGAATGAGTCAGAATGTTTGTTTGACTTCTGCACAAAGAATGGCTTCTTATTTCTTTGTGCGTCTACCCCCCAAAAAGCAACAGCAAAAGCACATGTAAATAAATCAAAAGGCGACAGAAAAATCGCCATTTTTCCTGCCTCTAAATACACAAAGTCATTTGGCGCAAAAAAAATGTATCTTTAAATAAAACGTTTTATTTCCAACTATTTTGATGGTCAACATGAATTCTACACCTTTTGCTGTAATTATCTGCTGGAAAGAAGTCACTCTGACTGGCTGGCCGGCTGCACCCAAAAAACGGTTAAACATAAAAAAGCTAACGGCAGTTTTATAACTCTAGTCTTGGGACTGCTGGGGAGATTACCTTTTGGGAGGCTACGCCAAAAATGAGCGGAAAATGCCCGCTAAAAAAGAGTGGGCGCACAGAGAGAGATCCCCGAAGATGATACACAAGCAATCAAAAGAAATGCAATGGCCTCCTCAGGCTCCACTTCATCCTCTTCCTTGCCATCTTTACCCATTTTTTCCTGCACTTGCCGATGCACCGTTACGCGGAGTTGAGCCCGGGTTCAAGATCACCGCACCCAGCTAAATGTTTTTTTTTGTATTCTTTATGTTTTTTTGGCGCATTCTCCGCCTTGTCTCTTTGCACTTTTACACAGATTCTTTTGGAAATTTCTCGTTGGTTTTTGATCTTTCTTGTGTCTTGTTTTCTTTTTATTTGGAGGGCACTTGGGGACTAACGGTTCTGTTCTGCAGAGTTAAAAAATAAAAATAGCGCGCGCACAACTCACCGAAAGACAAACGAACACAGCACAGAAATGTTTAACACACCATCGTCGTGCCGGGGCTTTAACTTCCTCGATCCGCAGTTACTATTTACACAATTTACTTTTATTTCTTAAGTCAGAAGTTTATGTTAAACACTTTTGTGAGGATTTTTCAGCACACAACCGTCGCCGCCGATGGATTGCGCGCAATTGAATTTCCTTCACAGCGGCGACTCAGCTCGTTGCCTCAACGAACTCAACTTTACAATCCGGACTCGGCTCTCTGCTCTCACTCCTTGATTTCTCTGCTAGCGTCGGCAGCGGCAGCGGCTGCAAAAAGGAACGTAGCTCTCGAGTGTCGCAGTCATTAGATACCTACTACTTATTTGTTGCTCTTAAAAAATACGTACTATAGAAGTACGACCTTAAATAAGAGAATTGTTTCTATTTTTTTTAATACAGAATTAGTTTATTGCTTAGTTGTAAATATATACTGATTTTAATCAGGTATTATTTTGTTTTATATGTAATTTGAATAACCCATTCAAGTAGTCGTGGTTATACAAATAAATCGTATTAAGTATATCTACATAATGTGATACGTACTTCCGTACCTAAAATCGATATACCCTTACAATCAAGATAGTATACGGTAGCACAAGGCGACAACAGCTACAAGGCTACAGCGACAAGCTACAAAGAGCAGCTCGATCTTTGTTCTCTCTATGCGCCGAATCGCTTGATACTCTCCCAGAACAGGACCAAAGGTTCCCAGACAAGGGTTCTGGAATGTCATAGAATAGAGGGATGTTATGTCATGCAAAGAGAGGCTGTCTAAGTAATGTTACTCATTAATTTTAAGCAATTTTAAAGGGCTCCATGAAATTACATACATATTTAAATTTTTGTTTTACATTGTCTATTCCTTCTTCCGTCTTCGTGTTAATACAAAGAAAATATTAAAATTATATTCTTTAAAATATAAAACATTGGAAAGTTCCAGAATCCTTCCCGTTAATAAAAGTCATGTTTAAGGATATAATAAGGATTTTTCGGAAAAATTTGTTTATTCATGCCCTCAGAAATTTTAATAATAATATTTTTTAATATTTTCCTATTAAAAAATAAATTGATTTGTAAAAGTATGGTGCTTAAACTTACAATTTAAAGAAGTTGCTTTTTACATCTTCAGAGGCAAACTCAATTTTATATTCCCAAAGCTTAATCTTTTTTATCCTTGCCAAACGACTGAAAGATCAAAGAAGTACGAATAAAAATTAAAACTCAACATAATGCCCGAAAATGTTGTCCAGCGAGTGAGGCCTCTCCTCTGCCAGCTAATGATCGCCCAGAGCAGGCTGGTAAAAGTTGCGAACCTTGGGCCCGGGGACAACTCCATTAGGGCGGCCCACATTCGGGGGCCAGTTGGTTTTAGTTTTGGTAGTAGAGCAGGTGCATCGGCAGCAAGCCCTCGATCGAGAGTTGCAAGGAAAGTTGCGGCGCGTGGCTAGAGATCGATGAAGGAACCAGAAGACCCGCGCTACCCGCATATCGCAACAGGACAATCGGTGAGGCACGAGGCATGTCCGGACACATCTGGAATGGCAGAGAGTCTCATAGTCACACCTTGAATAGAGCTGATCGTTTAGCTACGGACAATGGCCAGGTGTGCTCTGGCTATTTTAAATAGTAAAGGAAGGGTCTTTTCGGTTAATTCTTACAATCAATATCCTTAAATCTAAACAACCATAAACACAGTTTATTGCATAGGAAAATTTTTAAAAATTATAAATTTTTTTAGAGGTCAAGAACTACGTTATCATATTTAAAAGATGTTATTCAAAGAAGTTTGAAACAAAATCAAAATTTTGGATTTCATTTTCAGAGTTTAGGTATTTTTTTCTTTATTTTTTATGCGGCTAATATTTCAACATTTTCGGCAGCACTAAAAGAGAGCTTGAGCCGCAATTTAGCATAAATGAAAACTGAACTGAGATCGCCGATGGCCAAGGCATCATTAAACACATTAACAGACAGCAGACGACGGCGATGGCAGGTGATGCCAAACAGAGACAGGTTGGCAAACTGACTGAGTGCCTAACTGACTGAATGACTGACTAACTGAAGGACTGACTAACTGACTGAGCGTATGAGCGACTGAACGATACCAATGGCAACTGTACAAACAGGCTCGAGTCGTTGGGGACTTTTAATGGGCTTAACCCGTGCCTCGGGCTCTCTCTTTCCTCTCTCTGCCGACTCCATCACACTCCTTTGTTAATTACAAAGGATGCGCCACAGGACAACATCTGCCGAATGCCAATTGATTCCCCCATACCAAAGCTTCTTAACCCTGCTGAGTAGAAAATACGACAGATAATAAAAACAACTTAATTTTTAACACAATTAAGTATGTAATTAATTTGTGAATTAAAAAAATATTAATAACATTGTTCCTATTTTGCTGGCTTTTTTAGGTTGGCAGAAAAAATGCCAGTTTTTATCTGTTAACAAATTCCTAGATTATCAAATATAATGCAGTCATATCTTATCTTTTCCTAACAAGATAAGAACATTAATCAAAAGCATATTTTAAATAAAGACAAAAGTTTATTTTATATGAAGACCCTGAGTTCAGTGGGTTAAGCTTTGGTTATGCTCATAGCAGCTGTACCTTCGATTCCAGATCTCTTAGATCCTTGCGGCTTACGCACTTCTCATCTTCTTCTTCTTCTTTCCAACTCCTGCTCCTGTTTGCCTGTATTTCTAAGTTCTATTGTCATGCCAGAAGGTATCGGAGTTGTGTGGCAGCGAAGGCCAACTATCCAGCGGCGAAACTAGTTTACCCACCATTTGCGTCTTTGAGAACCGGTAACGGTACAAAGGTGCCACCCCTCGCCGCCTTCGTTTCTCCCTTTTGCTGCGAAGCGTTGGAAATTATGTTTTGATTTTGTTCCTTCGTTTTGGCCAAGCAAACGCAAACGCAAACCTTCTAACGAACCATACCAAATTGTCTAATCTCGACGAACGTCTTCACACCCATTTTGACGAGTGCCTGCCAAAAGGGAAAAATCGTCTGTCGAATAGGGGATATAGTTATAGTTATACCATTACCCTCACCATTACATTATCGTTTACATGCCACCACCCCGATCCGGGGGATATATGTTCATGTTGCCCCTTTTCCGGCGATCCCCTCTTCGGTTTGCCCTCTGGCCCATTAAATAACCGTCGAACAGCTTTATTAATTTGCTGTAATTTGTTTATGTTTTCTAAGCAATTTATTTTCCACATGCGGCTGCCGCAGTAGCACCCAAGGGGGAACAAGGGGTTAAGGTTAAGAATGAGACACACAAAAAAGATCTTTGCAACTTATCACTTACCATTTTTGGATTGCCTTGTTATGTTTTTATGGTGGAAATTTGAGTTTGATTCATAAAAAAGATTCATACTTTGGTATTTACAGGCATATTCCGTAACTAAGGCTTTATTAACCCAAAGACCAACCAACTATTTGAGCTGCGTACTTTATAAGTACTAGTTAGTCTGGAAGGAGAGTTAACATTTTTTTTAAAGAAGAAGAACCATGGAGCCATTTTCCAACAGCTAAATGAGTTTTCTTTAAGAAAATAATATATACTACGGAAATGGAGTTAGAAAAGAAGTAATAAACAACAATAAACAACTTTATAGGTAAATTGACTTGATAATAAATTCCAAGCAACAAATTTATTTCAGTTTAGATATGTTACTGCAAATATTTGTGAAATTTCTCATTGTAATCAGTGAAATTCGTAATTCAAAGTGTCAAAGAACATGGCCATAAATGTAAGTTCCCCTTGTACGTATTTTTAATAAAGTTATAAATCTGAAATCAAAACATAAATATGACATTGATCTACAACTATTGAAAAGAGCTGTGAACCTTTTGTTGTTTCTCACCGAACAGAAGGGGATTTTTCAATATATATATCTTTTCTTTTTTTGGCAATCGTTTTTCTTTGGGTCTCGGCCAGGAAGGCAGATAAACTTTATGACCACAAGAGAGCATCTAAAATAAAGCAAAGCAAATAAAATCGGACAAGAACAGCATGTGAACGATTGCAAATTACAAGCCCAAGCTCGATTCTGCTGGGAAGCTACTCAGTCTTCGGCAGACTGCTGAAACTGCAGATACATCGAAGTATCTTGGGATCAGGACCATACCATTTCGCTGCTGTTGTCTTGACCATGTTTTTGGAACGGCAGCTGCTTCTTTCGGCTCTGTCGTCATTACCAAAAGGAAGCTAAAGACAAACGGATATGCGTTGCACATCAAGCAACTGCTTTTTGCTGCCCTGTTTCTGAACTTTTTTTTGTTTTATTTTTTGGTTTTTATTTTTTTGGTGGTTACTGCATTGCTTTTTGGGCTTTTTTGTTTCTTGGGCGAAAAATAAATTGTGCGACAGGTGCGACAACGACAGCAGTCAAAGAAGAAGATGGGTCTTAAACAGAGAGATGCATCGCTGCAAGGGCCAGAAGAGAGCAGGTTGCACTGCAAAAAGAATTGTATTGTTAAACTTCTTTCCGAAATCATCATCATCAACTTTAGCAGCTTGGGACTAAAATATTATAGAATTTCTATTATAAAATCTACTTTTGGCATCTAGAATACAAAAAAGTTTAAAGAATATCCAGTTTTTCCTCAGTGCAGCCGAAACGATCCTAACCACAGGAAGCTTTTTGTGTGGGAGCGAAGCTTTCGATGTGATTTCGGCTTTATGGGTCTGTTGTTTTTGGGGATTTTACAGCTGCAGCGTCGATAATTGCCAGGCCCGTCTTACAAGGACCGAAAAGATGCAGATCATGACCCAAGGAACAGGCAGCAGCTGTTACTTCCGCTCGAATGGATTGGAATGGACGCTGTAAAAGGGCTTCCACTTCAATTGTCGATCGGCGAGATCCTTGGCGATCCTTTCATCGATCCTTTTTCTAACTCTAATCCGGCAGACAAGCAGCAGACAGAGGATTTTTGGACTACCTGTACCTGTTTCGGAGACTGTTTTGAGCCTTCCTTTCGGTCTGCATTTGGTTATTTATTTTGATCCGCTGCGGTGATCTACATGCATGACCGAACCCACGATCCTCCTCCGTGGCCTATTGAATTAATGTGCGGCATTAGGCGGACCAACAGGTTTGGCTTAAGCCTTTTCAGCTTGCTCTTGGTAAAAACA